TTATGCCCTAGTGATGGGAATGCAAAATGATGCAGCTGTTTGGAAAACAGGCTGGTGGCTCCTCACAAGATTAAAACCTAGAGTTGCTAACGACCCAGCAATTCCAGTCCTAGGTACAGATCCCAGAGAACAGAAAACATATGTCCATACAAAAACTTGTTACAGGAATGTTCATGGTTGCATGACTCAAGAGTCATAAGCAACCCAAATGCTCACCAACCAATGAGTAGGTACTAAAATGTGGTGTATCCATCCAATGGAATGTTATTCAGCCATGAAAAGGAATGAAGTGCTCATACAGGCTACTATAGGAATAGAACTTAAGAACATTATGCTCAGTGGAAGCAGCCCATCACAATACCATGTATTGTTAAGATTCCATTTATATGAAATGTCCAGAATAGGCATATCATAGAGACAGAAAGTGGATTAGTGTTTGCCTAGGGCTGGGGAGGGGAGTGAATGGGAGGGGAGTTGACTGTTAACAGGTGTGGGTTTTGGGGAGGTGAGGAATATGTTCTAAAATTGATTGTGATGATGGTTGTACAACTCTAAATATGTTAACACCATTGGACTGGACATTTTAAATCACATGGTATATAAATTTTATCTCAATAAACCTGTTATGTAAAAAAACACAAGAACATAAGTGTACACTTTGTATTATCTTTTTTTTTTTGAGAGAGAGAGAGCACGCATGATTAGGGGAGAGGGGAGGGGCAGGGGGAGAGAATCTCAGACTCCACGCTGAGCAGAGCCCAACATGGGTCTCGATCTCATGACTCTGAGATCATGATTTCGGCTCGGACACTTAACGGAGTGAGCCACCCAGGAACCCCTGCTTTGTATTATCTTTAACACATGCACACACATTAACAGTATGTAGTATCAGTATACTTTTAAATTTTATGTATTTGGGATCACATCCTTTGACATCTTATTTTTTCACTCAGTTTTCTTTCAGATTAATCCATTAGTAAACTCTTATTGCATGAATACAAGTTTTGATTATCCAGTTCTAAAATACATAAACTCCCTTAATCCTATACACCTTGACAGCTGCCCATTTCCCTACTGCCCCTTCAAAGCCAAACTTCTCAAGACTTTTCTAGATATGCAACTTCTATTGCCTTACCACTTACCTCCCCCTTATTCTATGAACAGTGCTCATCAAGGTCACCACCAACCTCCATGTTACCACAAATACCCCATTTCCACTTAAGATGCGTATCTGAAACAATTCCCCAGCATCTCTAAGCTGGGATGTGTTATGGTTGATGGCATCTAATCATTCTAAATGTTAGCATTTTTGTCTTAGCAGCACATAAAATAATGGTGATTTTTATAGTAGATGGCATCTAAGAAGCAATGAAACTTAGTACGGTGGACAGGCTTGTCATTTTACCTGAACTTACAGCTATGTTGGCCCCAACTGACCTCAACCTTTCTGAATTGTTTTCTTCTGGCTTCCATAAGCACCCCTCCCTTCATTTTCCTCCCGCCTTCTGCCCACTCCTAAGCGTCCATTGCTGGTTCAGATAATGGGCCCTCAAGTCTCCTTCAGTGCTCATTTCTCATTGCGCTCTGCTGGATGATTACACCCAGCCCACTATGACGGCTGTCAGATGAGTATAGCTCGTGCCCAAAACTCTATCAGCAGTCCAGGCTCAAATCTGCCTGCAAAGTTCCACTGCTACTTAATGTCTACAAGGCATTTCTAGCCAATAACACCCACAGTGAAGCTCCTGGTTCCCCCCACTAAACCTCAACTTGTTTCTCAAGCTAGAAACCTGGTTATCATTATCCACAGTTTCTCCTTTTCTCCCACTTCTTATCCATCACTGAATTTTGCTGAAACAGCAAAATCCATCTAAACTGCATCCACCTTCCCCCGCCCCCTAGTTCAGACCACTGCCATCCGCAGGCGGCACCAGAGCCTTCTACTCCTCTTCCTTTCTTCCTGCAGTCGACAGGGGCCAGGAGCTCCTGTAAAACACGCCGAACCCTGCTACTCCCCTGCTTACCACCCCTCAAAGGCTGGCTCCTGCAGTCAGACTCAAGCCCTTATTAGGTCTGTGTGATATTGTCGGGTAGCGTTGTAAAAATATACAGTACACAGCATGGTGACTTCAGTTAACAGTGCTGGGTGGTAGATTTTAATGTTGCTAAGGGTAAGAAAGTCATTAAAATTTCTCATCACAAGAAAAATATCTGTAGCTATGTGGGGTGATGGATGTTAACTAGACTTACTGTGATCACTTTGCAACATGTACAAAGATCAAATCATTACACTGTACATTTGAAACTAATAGAGGGTTATATGTCAATTATATCTCAATGAAAAAAAGTCAGATCTCTCATCTTGGTTTCTAAAGAATAGGACAAACAATGTGTAGTATATTTATTTTGTCTTCCCCCGGGGCTCCTGGTCAGAGCTCCTAATGTCTTTGTAATTTCCTAAGTGGTAAGAGGATAGGAGCATCTTTTGTTCTATTTTCTTGGTTTTATCTTGGCTCCTGAAGCTCCAAGTAACAAAGGTGAAGAGAGTATCTTTACTTATTCCTAACAAGCCCTTTCAACTACACCAGAGCTTAAAGAGGTGACTTTTGGAAAACCCCTAAGGATGAGGGCTGGTTGCCATGGGAACCAACCCTGGAATGAAAGGATTAGAACTTTCAGCCCCAGTCCCTGACCTCTGGGGAGGGGAAGGCTAGAGGTTGAGTTAATCACTAATGGCCAATGATTTAATCATCATGCCTATGTAATGAAGCCTCCAGAAAAACCCCTAACTGAAAGGGTTCAAGGATCTTCTGGGTTGGTGAACAAGAACACAGCCACATGCCAGGAGGGTGGCGCACCCCAGACTCCACAGGGACAGAAGCTCCTGCACACAGTACTCTTTGGGACCCGCCCTATGTCTCTCTCCCCATCTGACTGATCATTTGCACCCCAGGACAGAGTAAGTCGGTCATAGCAAGTCAGCTGCTGCCCTGGGCTCTGTGAGCTGTTACAACAAATTATCAAACCTGAGGACGGGGTCATGGGAATCTCTGATTTGCAGGCAAGTTGGACCTAAGTGTGGGAGACCTGGGGCCCCACTATTTGCAACCAGTGTTTGAAGTGGGTGCAGTCCTATGGGACTAAGCCCTTACCCTGTGGGGTCTGCATGCTGATTCCAGGTAGTGTCAGAGCTGCCTTACATTGTAGGACACCCAGGGGCGCCTGGGGGGCTCAGTCCGTTAAGCATCTGCCTTTGGCTCAGGTCATGATCTCAGGGGTCCTGGGTTCCAGTCCCACGTCCATCTGGGGCTCCCTGCTTGGTGGGGAGTTTGCTTCTCCCTCTCCCTCTGTCCCTCCCCCTTGCTCATGCACTCTCTCAAATAATCTTTAAAAAAAAAAAAAAATTGTGGGCCACCCAGTGTGTGACTGTAAAGTAAATTGAGTGGTGTGGAGAACCCACACATCTGGTGTCAGAAATATTCTGTGTAAAGAAAATCTTTCCTTTCAGACTGCAACTGCAAGTCCCAGCTCTTGCCCCAGCTCTTGCCCTCTACCCCTCAAGCTTCAGCCACATGGACTGCTCTTTGCTTGGGGCTGGCTCCTTCCCATTCTTCCTCCTAACGATCTCACCTTTACAAGGGCCACTTCCTCATCCCTCTTGTCCCCCGTTCAGTTTCCCAGTACTTGACTGCTTCCTTAGAGATCTCCCCACATTCCTCAGGGCCTTCCCCTTATTGGACTCCCCAGGATATGTGCAAGGAACTGAATAAGGAAATCAAACATACAAGGTTCATCAAACACCTGCAGGAACTTTCACAGGAAGGACTCATCCTAGAAATTTCCAGAAAGGACAATTTGGACAAGAGAGAAGCCGTAGGGAGACATTTCTGCTTCATCTCAGGTAAGAAACACTAAGAACTGTAGGTGTCCACCCATCCCAAGAGCAGCTGAGCAGAGCTGGGCATTTCCAGGTAGAGGCTAGATGGCGATGCTGTGGAGATGAACGACATAGCTCCATTTGGAGGCCAGGGCCAGACTACCTTCAGTCCCTCCAGGTGTACAAGTCTGTTTTTCTCTGGTTCTCATGGATTCCATAGATGTCACAGAGGCAGCAATTGCCAACTGAATTCCCTAGGCAAAGCCACAACATTTTTGCTTTTTGCACGCCCACAAACAAGACAGCTCTTACAGACAAATCTACCTCCATCAAACACCAAAAACGGAAGATGGGAAAGGCCCTCAAGGGGAGTGGAGAGCCTGTGTGATGACATGAAGATATAATTCAGACCAACAGCCACCACTGTTTAGATTTTATTAAAAATAAAAACTACAGGAACAAAAATTGAATGTACAACGAGAGAACAGGGAGTGGCTAGTAGGAGAAAACAAAGGAGCACAGCAATGGTGACAGCCAGTCCTGGCTAGGCACAACTGGTACCAGGAATGAGCCTCATTCCCGTCTCTCGACCACAGCAATCCCTGGCCCTGGGGGTGCGGAAGGCACTGGGCCACATGTTGTGTGCTCTTCAGCCCACATTTTCTCCACTCACAGAAGCCCAGAGAAACCTGCAGGACAGAGCTCAGAAAAACACTATGAATACCTTGAACTTGCTCTTCGGCCAAAGTGGTAGAAGCATCCAGGACTGGAACTCACACCAAGAGGGCACCAAGTTCTCATAACACCCTCATGTTGCTCGGTCATCTAAAACGGACTGCAGTACCCTGAACACAAGGGACTCTGGTCCAAGGAACAAAGTGGGGACCAACCTCCCGTAGGTGGTGGGCTGCCGAGCAGGGGAAAGAACACTGGCAAAGCGAGCCCACCCAAGATGGCACGAGGAGCAGAAAGTGGAGCTGAAGAAAGAAACAGCCTCATTCCCAGCCCAGCCTGAGCCCAGGAAATGGTGGGGGGAGCTGGATGGTTCAGCCTCGGGCCCCGCACGCCCTCTCCGAGTCCCTCAGCAGTTGGGTTGTGAGCCTGAGAGTGTGGAGTTGGCCCCACCAGCATCTCAGCAAGCTACTGTGGACGGCCCCGAGCCTCAGAACTGCTGGAGGATCATTTTCCGTTTCAGGTCATGACTGAACCGGTTCATCCTGAAGAGCTCACTGTCATAAAAAGCAGACAGGTTGTGGATGTTGATCTGACGAGCCTGAAAAGAGAAAACGTCAAGTGAGTCACGAAAATGAGCCTCCGCGGGTCTGCAGCAGAGCCTCCACGCTGGTGCAATGTCTAAGGCCCGTTCGTGGTGGTGGTAAACTGAGTCAGGGTCTGGAGTCAGGACACAGGGCTTGAAACCTTAGCTCTGCCAGTTGCCTGTGTCTGTCTCCTGTGTGAGACGAGATGGCAGTAATAAGACTCACCATGGTCAAGTGTAACTGCACAGAACGGGGCTCAGCCCATCATGAACACGTCATATGTGGCTCCCACCTGAGGCCTGCCCGCTTAATGATGGAGCAAGGACTTCTTGCCCCCAAAGATGCCGGACAGCTCCCCAGGAAGCAGCCCGCCCTCCCATCTGGGCCCATACCTTGTCCACCAAGTCCTTCTCAGGCACTTCGATAGTGTCCTGCTGGGCCCCAAAGCGGTTGCGCTGGTACGTCACCTGTTCTGCCACTAACTGCTTCAAGATGAAGAGCAGCAGCTCATTGTTGTCACGCCGGAATGAAAGGTAGCGGGCAAAAGTCTGCAGAGAACAGCCAAAGTCAAATGATGCCCTTCCTCACCAGGACCCTCAAGGCTGCTACAGGATGACCAGTCCCCGCCACGTTCCCGTCACGACCTGCCCGAGCAGCCAGGCAGGACAAGAAAGCCCGGATCCAGAGCCTCGGGATGCCCACCGTGGCCGCCACACAGCTCCCACACACCTTCCTCATGCTGCGCATGATGCTGAACTTTTGTGTGTCGATGAAGCTCTCCAGCATCACGCGGATGGCCATGCTGACATCATCCTCGATCACGTAGTCCCGCAGGTGGATGCGCGCATGGGCCTCTGCCATGCGGATCATGGACTCGATGTGCCGCACTGTGATGGGGATGCTGCCTGTGGCCTGCAGAAAGGACAATGTCCGGTCTTGTCAGCACGGCCAGAGGCTCCTACGGCGGCCACACACTCGCGGCCTGCTGCCATCCCGCCGGCACCTTCTCTCCCCCAGGCTCACATGGGCAACCCAGTCCGAGATGTCCGTGGCCAGCTGCACCTGTTGCTGTTATGCGTAAGTGCTGCACACACCTGTGCAACGTAAGTGGGGAAAAAAGCTGTTTGTATAAAAACTAAGTCAAATGCTCTCCAAGAACCTCATGAAGTTGGAAAGTTAAAAAAAAAATCAAACCAACAAAAAAACCAAAGAAGCTGCTGTCTGGGTTAGGTGGGTGAGACCTACCAATCTGCAAGAATCCTGCAATCCAGGGGTGCCTGGGTAGCTCAGTCGGCTGAGCGGCCGACTTTTGATTTCAGCTCAGGTCGTGATCTCAGGGTCGTGAAATCAAACCCTGCCGCAGGGAGTCAGCTTGGGGATTCACTCTCTCCCTCTGCCCCTCCCCCCGCTGGCTCAAGCTCTCTATCCCTGAAATAAACAAACAAATCTTAAAAAAAAAAAAAAAAGTTCTGCATTCCAGCTGCATGCAAGCTGCCTTTGTATTTCACTCCATCATGAAAGAACTGATGCTTGTTCAGACCATGTTTGGGTGAGATTCACAAAGTCAACACAGAAATTAAAACCAGCGGCCAACACTCAAGGGACCTTGGCCCCATACCCAGGTAGACAAATGCACGCATGTTTACGTTCCACCTGACACAAAATAGCCAACGTATTTACATATCATTTTTTAAAGGCATTCCAGCTCTAGTGCTTCTTAGATTAACGGACTGCACAGCTAAAGAAGCGTCTGCTGAGCTCCCCTCCCTGCACCACACCCCCCAGCCGCACCCTGGGCCCTCACCATGGACTCTTTCCTCAGGTCACTGTACATCTTGGCCACCTTGTCCTGGTCCATCTGGTTGAGCTTCGGGTGGACCCTCTCCTTAGCATAGATGATGTACTTCTTCAGCACTTCTTGTGGCAGGGGCTCCACACCGTATGTATTGGGCATGGCGGGCTCCTGGGTGCCAGTGCTGCCCAGGCCCTCCTCCTTGTTGCTGGGGTGGTGCCTGATGTGGCTGCCAACCACAAAACGGGCCAGCATCTCATCCTAAGACAAGAGGGGAGAGAGCAAGTCACGGGGTGAGTCTCATGACCTGGCTTGGAGTAAGTTGGCTTGCTGGAAGAAGTGAAAGCTGCAGGTGCTGGAAAATGACACTCCCGCAACAGTATCATCCGACGCCTACTATGTGCCAGGCAGCTGTGGGTGGCTGGGAGTCACCGGTGCACATGACAAGGCCCCAAGCCTCACTCAAGGTCCCCGGAACTTACTGCACGAGCCCTGGGACATGGGGTTGTGTACCTGGACTGGGTCCACCGTGTCCCTCACCACACACAGGACATCGAAGCGGGAAATGATAGGCTCCGTGAGGTCCACATTTTCTGAGAAGGTGAGCGAGGGGTCATAGCGGCCTCCTGTAACACAAAGGCACTTCTCCATCAGGGTTCATGCTCCCTCGATCTGCTCTTCTTCTGAGCACAAAGTTCTTGCCAACCTCAAGTCGCTTCAGGGACGGAAGAGAAAGACGACTTCGGAAAAGGAAGGATGCTCAGTACCTGCATCTGCCAGGCATTCTTGACAAGACAAGGAAAAGGGCTTTCCTGGAGCACTTGCCTGAAAGAGCCTTTAGACTAAAAGTCTAATCAACTCCCAGCAGGAAAAACCTAGAATAAGGTGGGTGCGGTGCCTGAGCTCCCTGCCCACATGCTGACTGGGATCAACAACCAACTCCGCCCGAACTTAGATAATGCACTAGATTTTTCTCGTCTTCTGAGGAAAATGTCCAAAACTGGTTCTAAGAACATGGCTTAACAAAAGACCCCAAGTCTTGCTTCCATGCACCCCCAGCAAGAACTGCGGGAGAGAGAAAGGTTTCCTGATGCTCAGTTCCTTCCTCAGACCTCGGGACTGGCCAAGGGACGCTGCAGGCTTCCCCCCCGCAAGGCCAGGCCTCCCTGTGGCAGGCCCCAACCCCGGTGGCTGTCGTGCCCGGTGTACCTATGGGGTTGGCCGCGGCAATGATGGTACAGCGGGCCTGCAGGGAGGTGACAATGCCAGCCTTGGAGATGGAGATGCTCTGTTGCTCCATGGCCTCGTGGATGCTGGTTCTGTCCTGGTCGTTCATCTGTAGGAGGTTCAAATGTGTGATGCTTGCCCCGACCGCTATCCCGTTAACACCTGTTTCCCCACTCAGGGCTAAGCCAACACATCCCGAATCCTATCGCCATGGGGCCCAAGGACCCACCTTGTCAAATTCATCAATGAGACATACTCCTCGGTCAGCCAGAACCAGGGCTCCTGCCTCTAAGGTCCATTCCCTGCTGACGGGGTGCCGCTGGACATATGCCGTGAGGCCCACGGCTGAAGCCCCCTGGCCAGTGGTGAAGATGGCTCGGCTAGACACTTTCTCAATGTATTTGAGGAACTGAGACTTGGCTGTGCCAGGATCTCCACACAAGAGCACGTTGATGTCGCCTCGCACCTTGTGCTTACCCCCTGAAGGAGGCAAGGATGGAGATGGGGATGAAAGGGAGGGGAGGGGTGCCAAACATAGCCAGGTCATCTCTAATTTCTCATTCTGCTTATGCCAACTGCAAACCATATTTTCTAGAAAGGGATGCAAGACCCTAGGACTAGCCATCCCACTTCTGAGAACTGAACCCAGAGAAATGGGCCGCTACTATAAAGACGCTCTTAGGAAAGGTAAGAAACTAGAAGCAATGCAGATGTTTTCCACTGAGAAGAACAGCTCTGTACGCTGTGCTATAGGGACCTTGATACAGTTGCTTATGGGAATAAATCTGCTCAGTATGCACCAGTGCAAAAAGATGCCCCACACATGCTAATGAGCAGGAAGAGGTAAGTTGAGTATTTTACATAACCGCTTACACGCAGGTACAGGAAATACTGTGTTTATAAACAGAAATACATGCATGCCACAGAATTGTATTATTGTGTAAGTACACGTGTAAGTCTATGTGAATGGCCACGCAATGGTCCACTAGTGCACAACACCAACCACACTGATCAGGAGTGACCCACCAGGAGGGGACTGGATTAGAAACCATGGTCAGCGGGGACTTCCATCTTTCTGTGACTTCTAACAATTTAAGAAGAGGATGTAATTATCTCTACATATTCATGTATTATTTTTATAGTTAAAACCACCCAAGGCGCCATAGCCACAGGCTACGCTCTCCCTACAGTGACCAAGCCACACATGGTCTGGCCATCTGCTAACATGTACTTTCTCCCCAAGCACCCAACCTTTAAATGCAAAGTCCTGCCTTGTCTGGTACCTGCAACGCAGAGGGAAAGGGGGTGGCACCCAACACCACTCACCTGGGTTTTTGGGCTCCCCTCCAAACAGAGCCAGCGCCAGGCCTCTCTTGATGTCTTCGTGCCCATAGATGGAAGGAGCAATACTGGCAAAGATCTGCAAGGGAGGGAGAGCCAGTGAGAACGGGCACATCTGCTCTGAGTCTGGGCCAACGCCCCACATACGGTAGGTCTCCCACCAGCTCCAATCTTAGGGAACAGGATTGTCTCCAGCCCGAGTGCCCACACCACGGCTGCTGCAATCCCACCAGGCCCCAGCACCAAGCTCTGCCCTCTGACCTTGGGCTGGGCAATTAGTTGGCTTTTCCTGAGAATCACAGAACTTTAGAGCTTAACAGAACGTCAGTCGGACCCCCTTTTTGGTCATATTTCAGAAAGGACTACCCAAAGGTCACAGAAAGGAGAAAAGACCCAGGCCCATGAAACAGTGCCATGTGTGGGAAGAGGGTGGGCTTTGACAATACAGATGTAGGAAGACACCTCCCACGGGCTCTGTGGCTGCCTGAGCCTCAGTCTCCTCAAATGGAAGACAGGTATCACAACCCAATTCAGAGGACTGGGTGGGTCCTAAGTGAGAGGTTTATACAAGTTTATACAAGTGCCTGGCTCCCGACTATGCTGTGGTAGCCAAATATGATAAATATGGAACATTCAGGAGATGGGCCCACCAGGAAGTCATCATTTCAACTGGTAAGTCATGGAGACATCTATCTGTGTGTGACAGAGAAGAGGAAAAGAGAGAATCTCAAAATCTGCATGACTTTTAAAGATGAAACCAGAGACAACAAAGAAATGTCTTGCCAGTAGGAAGCAGCTTCCATCTCCTGCACGCTTTTACTGTTCTCAACCTTTCTGCCGTCTGCATGGAGGGACTCCACAGAAGCAGTGCATGCCCCTCCTTCCCCCTTACAGGTTATACCGAGGCGGCTTGTACCGCAGGCCTGGGGGAAAGGGAGCACCAAAGCAGGAAAGTCAGTGCTGAAAATCTGGAGGGCACCCCCCCCCCCGCCCCGCACTGGGCTGGATCCAGCTGTCCTGCCTGCCCACCAGCCAGACGGAAGAACTGCTCCCTCGGGGCTCCCTTGAAGCATGAAGGTGGGAGATGTCCTGTTCTTAGAGCTGGAGTCAGGGGTCAGCAGCTTATCCTGCGGATGGCCACTCTGCACTGCTGCCAGAGGGCAGCATGACCAGCAGGTCCTTCTGAAAAGAGGATCTGCCAGTACCACTGGTACTGAGCCAGAAATGCCTCCTGCTGTTACTTTATATAATAAGTCAGGAATGGAGGTCAGTTTCCACTTGGACACTTTTGCTGGTTCTTTCCTTGGCCCTAACATTTCCTGTAAAACCCAGCCCAAGGAGACACAGAACTGCATTAACTGGTGCACGGTGGTCCAAGCCTGATGTCTATAGAGGCTGGCCTCTCTAAATACTATCTCCCACTGAAAGAAAATTCTACTCCCCATGGGGCTATTTGGAGAAATGGATGATCCCAGGTCTGGGCAGGAAATGTGCAAAAAGAACCTGCCGGGTCTTATATAAGAAGGAAAAAAGCTACCAGAGACCCAGGGTCACACCAATAGGACTCAGGACGATGGGCTTCATGCTTGGCAACTAGAGGGACCTGCTGGGGATCACCCGGATGGCCACTGCAATGCTGAAGCCTCGATGTCATTTAAGTCCGCTCATCTGTGATGACACTCAGCGGTCACCCCGGGAGGGGAACGGTTCATTATTTTGAAAACTGGTAAATGAAGGGAAAGGATCAAGCACAATCCTGCTTTTTCTACAGGACCTCTACCTAGGCATAGTCCAATAGTTAATAAAGAAAAGTTTTTCTACACAGAAGCATTCCAGAATATAAATGAAGAAGGATTTGGAGTTAGAAGACCGTCATTTTGTGACCCCTAATGAATGAGTGGGTTTAGCCAAAGATCGTCAGTGGCTGCTAACATCACAGAAAGACAAGGAGATGCCAGGTGCTGCGGTGGGATAGACCTCTAGCCCATCTCGCCACGGACCCCACCCAAAAAGAAATCAGTCTGGACACTGATTATGCGTGTGCATCATAGTGACAATTCACAGAAAACAGATGGCCCAGGAATACATTCGACAAAGACCCATCTGCAACACCTAGAGTGTCGAAATCTCAACAGGACAGATGACCCAGATTCTTCCACAAAAAGAGAGGGAGAGGGGACCTAAAGACGGAGACTTGAGAGACAGATCGACCAGTTCCAATGTGCAGGCCTTACTTGGACATCAACGCCAAGAGACTTTTAAAAAAAGAAAAAAGGATAATCAGGGAAATGTGGACACCAAGGAAATACTTGCTACCAGGGAACCACGAACTCGTTTTTAAAGTGTGGCCCCGGTGCTGTGGTTTGGTGCAGTAGAGAGGGCCTGTTACAGATCCACGGCTGCAGGTCAAACACCGTGTGGGGAACTGGCTGCAGTCATTGAGGGAACTGGGCGCGAGTATAGAGGACACAGGGGTGGCCCGACTCCAGCTGCAGGTGGAGTCCAGGGGAAGGACATAAGGGGTTCATTGTACCCACTCCATGTGTATGTCTGCAAGTTTCTGTAATAAGGCTTCAGTATTCAGACCAGGACTTATACGTGGGTGGCCACAGAACTCACCATAACCAAGTACCCCCTGAACACACACACGTCCTCCTGAGCTGCAGTAACTTAGGGAGAGGGAGCAGAGAGCAGTCCCTGGAGCGCAGACTCAGACCAGACTGTGTGAACAGGGATCCTGGCTCTGCCATTAGCAGCTATGCCGCATGGCAGCTTACTTAACCCGGGCCTCCATTTATTCATCAATAAAACGGGCACCTGTGACACCTCCATTATAAGATTGTTACTATTATTACTATCTGGAAATTACCTACACAGCGTCAAGCAGATGCTTAGGGCTCAATATGCAGGACTCTTTCATTGCACCCTCACCCGTGCTGGGAATGTCAGGAGAGACAATCCGCCATGGATGTCTCATCCTCCTGGACGTCTTGTGGGTGTGCAAGGCTGCCCGTCCCTGACCTCTCTTTACCCTGTTTCTCAGGGCTGTTCCCGTAGCAGGCACCCCTGCAAGGATGAGGTAATGTCTCCCTCCAGGACCAAGAGCAGCAGGCCCCCTTCTCGCCTGTTATGCACAGCTGCCCAGGCTCAGCGCCCCTCCTGCAAAGCACCCGCTGCATCCAGATGGGCCTCCCTATAGACTACACAGGACAGGGAAGCAACCACGCTAAGGCTAACGCTGCCGTCGCTGACCCAGCTGGTCTGAGACAGTAATGGGCAAATGTACTGGCTAGGAAGAAAGGAAAAATCAGGGCTGCCTGGGTGGCTCAGTTGGTTAAGCATCTGCCTTCGGCTCAAGTCATGATCCCAGGGTCCTGGGATCGGGCCCCATGTCAGGCTCCCTGCTCAGCGGGAGTCTGCTTCTCCCTCTCCCTCTGTCCCCACCCCCCCAACCCCCTGCTCATGCATACTCTCTCCCTCTGTCTCAAATAAATAAAATCTAAAAAAAAAAAAAAAAAAAAAAGGTAAACTCAAACCCAGACCTGCCAAGGAATGACACACTTGCCATGAAGTATTCCACTTAACCCTCATAATGATTCTGGTTCCCTCACATCAAAAAGGAAACAAACCAAGGCTCTGGTCAAACTGTTCCTAAATGAGAGGCAAGACCTGACCCCAGATTCCTCTGAATCTGAAGCTCATGCTCTTAATTCTCAATACACACTACCCTATCCCCTGCCCCCCTCACCCCGCTCAGAACAGCCCACCACGAAGTATGGCCAAGTTCCCACCCACACAGCTACTGTGAGCACGAGACAATGCACAGGAAATGTCTAGAACGTGCCCTAAAGCTAAGCTATTTTTATCCTCCTACGGACCTTTATGCTTTTAACATCCATTGTCCCGGGTGGCACGCCCATCCAGTTTTTGTACAACTAAATTTTGTACCGACGTGCAAAACAGCTGGCTGCTGAGCATGCAGCACACGAGCACATCCCCGTAAGCCTTGTAACAACTCTAGCCGTGGGTGCTACCTACCGTCAGCTCATCCGTACAGAGGCGAGCAACTCATCTGATCACACCAATGATTAGGCCAAAAGCCAAACCTAAGGAGTGTGGCCCCAAACTGATTCTCCTGTTAGTTCTTTACAACAAAATCTAAGCGTTAGACACGGCACTCATCCCTTGACTACTTCTACCTGTCGGCGGCCACGGCCCACAAAACCAAATGGGCCGGAAGACAAGCTGCGTTCATCAGGCTGCAGAGGACAGAGCAGGGGGTGGCTGGGACAGACAGCAGGGAGCGTGCCCCAATGGCAAGGGCAACTGCCCCTTAGCTCTCCCATCAGTCATCACTGGAGAGAAACAAAGACCTAGCACTGAAAGATGCTTGGACGGCCAAAAACCGGGGCTTCCAGATTTTTATGTGCAATCTCAATTTCTAAAGATGATAACCAATTCAAAAATAAAAGCAAACAAAAAAGAAAAGGAAACACAGAACCACCTACCAACCAACCAACCAACCAAAACCCATCAGCAGGCTGCATGTAGTCCACAGGCCACCAAATTGCAAACCTCTGGCTTAAATAGTTCAAAAGAGCCCCATCATGACAAGCCTGTCATCCTTTCAGTTTGTCCCCAAAACCGCCGTGTGGTTTCTTTGTCCGAGTTCTTGGTAAAAATATCCACCCTGACAGTGGGCTAAAGGGGTCAGTACAGATCAACACTCCCTGGTATCACCCAGCCCTCCTTCCCTGACGGGACTCAGAAAGGTGTACTATAGAGATGTCATCGTCTCTAGAAGGACCCCTCTGGATCCTGGGGATCCTTCTAAAGAACCTCTGTTTAGATGTCACCGTCTCCAACCCTGAGGGAGTCACAGTGTAAGCGTGCAGGTGTAACTGACCTTGAGCAGTCACTACCATGATACTGGGGCACGTCTGCCTGGCAAAGTCAGCTATGTGGACAGAGGCAGACAAAACAGCAGCTATCACCGCACCAAAGTGTGGCAGAACCTTCCATGTTAGGGCCACTAGGGGCAGTTCGGGAAATCTGGGGCACAAGGCACACACAGGGACTGGCCTGTCCAAAGCCTGAAGTCAAGCAAATCCTGCCTCCCACGCTCTATCTGCTGCTGCTCCTGTCTCAACAGAGCAGAAGAGCAGTGGCTGATAACTGCAGCAGAGGGAAAGAGGGCACTAGCGAACTGTTCTAGAAGCACACTGCTCCTTTGGCAGCTCGGGCACACGTGCACACAGCTGATGCATGCCAGGTTAGCGGTGAGGGCCAAGGTCGCCAGCCCTGGACAGACTGGCTCAAATAGTAGTGAAGAGTCTGAAAACACGTCCACCGTGTTACTACTAATTTTCCTCTGGGAAGAATCACGGGTTGTGGCTTTCTTCCCATGTTACTGATTAAGTGAAAAAATCCTATGTTTTTGTTTTCTTTCTTATTATTGGGGATCCTGATAACTATGAGCCCCAGAAGGGAAGGACTGACTGTGTCTGACTTCCCACGATCCTAGAACACGGCCTACAAGGTATTCAAGGACTGGGTATGTTGGCAGAATGAAGTTCTTGTCCTCCCGAGGCTGGGGAAACCCCTGCCTCTCCTGGTGCAACCCCAAATCTTGGTGGCCCAGGTGAAGGTGATGGAAATGAGTGCGTCAGATGTGGCCCTGCCCTCAAGGGAAGGATTCCATTTGCTCAAAAAGCCAAATGGAGCCTGCACTGATTGACCTGAACTGAGAGTCTGGCTCTTAAATCCCTAGCTCCCCAACCTTCAGCAAAAATGTCTACAATTAAAAAAAAAAAAACCTAAAACCCTAAAACCCTCTTGGGGTAGCACTCTTCCCATAGAAACGGGTGTTGGGTCTGACACCAGGGGATACCCTCACGAGATGAGTTATTCCTACTGCTCCACCTGTTTCAGCCCTGACCTGGGCTCGACTCGATCCACTGACTCCTCATCACAGCCCCATCCTGTCGAGGGGTAGGTCTCCAAAGCCAGCATTCCAGCTTCTCCCCCAGAGCGCAGCCCCCCTCCTCCCCCCAGATCAAGGCAAACTGACTGAGCTGATGCTGGGAAGGGAAAGAATGAAGAAGCGGAGCCCAGACCCCAAGACCCGGGAATCAGGACCGTGGTTCTGGGGCCTCCTCTGGAAGCACAATCCCGCCCGGACTTCCACCTGCCTTCTCCCCGATCTGCTGGTCCTTGGAGAGGCTGGTGATCATCTTCACGTCTTCGTCCGTCAGTTCCCCCACAGCAACCTTGTTGTCCTTCTTGGCTACGTGGTTGGCTAGGATGACGGTGGCAAAGACAGGGAAACCATTGGCTGTGTTGAGGGAGCCGTCGTAGTTGTTGTGGTAGATGCCAGTCAGCTCCTGGGAGAGGGGGCACAACCCAGAGAGCCGGGCCGGGGTTAGACTCAGGGCCGGGGTCTTCCCCCCACTGCCTCCACTGTCCGATCTCTCCTCCTCAACTCCTCCCTACCAGACAGCGAGATGAGTAGCCCGGAAGACCAAAGCAAAACTTCTACCCCCCACATTCCAACTGGCCAGTCCTCTACAAGGAGGAAAGGCTCTTCCTCCCAGTGACTGAAGAACTGACCTCAGCCTACCCCTCCCGCTGCCAGCAACCCTCTCTGCACTACAGATGCTCATGCTGATGTCCTTAGCAACTTGGCTGCCTGGCCTGCTCCTGGGCCACTTACTATCTCATCTCCTGGCTTACAGCTGTCCACCAGATCGGCGAGGAGGATAGCATCTTTGGAGCGAGGCAGCCGGCCGGCCGCCACTTTGCCAGGACTCTCCTGAATTCGGATGCGCTGGTAGTTCTGATAGATGGTCTGCGTGGGACAAACAGAGGTCACAGGAGCCTGTCTCTGCATGGCTGACTTCGCACTCCTCCAAGCACAGACTTATTATGTCACCTGACCCTGGCCACAGCCCCATGAGGAAGGAGAACAGATAGGATTCCTATCTCCATCAGCGGACCAGAAAATGGACAGCCAAACCAGAGAACGAGACTGCTGTGACTGACACACGGATGGTCCCACTCCTACCACTACCCCTGTGGATGCCTCCTTACTGCCAGACAGTCAAGTACCTGCTTGTAGCCAAGCCCTGGTGCATATGAATGCCACAGCCATGCTGTCTAAGTTCAAACCCTAGCTCCATGGCTTAAGCTGTGTGATCCTGAGGAAGTGATGGCCCCTCTCTACGCTTTCTCTGCGGAATGGGGATACTAAGGCTCTAAGTGCAACTTCACAGTGAGAGTTAAATCACGTCATATTGGGGCGCCTGGGTGGCTCAGTCAGTTAAGCGTCTGCCTTTGGCTCAGGTCATGATCTCAGGGTCCTGGGAGTGAGCCCTACATAGAGCTCCCAGCTCAGCAGGGAGTCCCCCCTGCCCCACTCATGCAAGCTCTAAGTAAATAAAATCTTAAAAAAAAATCATGTCACACATCCAAAACACTCAAATCAATGCCCAACAAAACAGTGAGCTCCACTAAGTGTGGGTTCTATGGCCAAAAGTCACATGGCAATGTTGTGCTATGCAATTTAATGTCCATTACTTCACTTACTGTCTAGAAAAGAGACCATATAATACAGCTGTTAAAAGCAGTTGCTCTGGATCCTGAGTTCTAATCCTTTGGGCCTCTTTCTAGCTGGGTGACTTTGGGGTCAATAATATCACCTGCCTCAAAAAGTGTGATGAAAACTGAATTATACATCACCCACCCACTATGTACCTTGCAAGTATTCCAGAAACTTCAGCTGTAATTATTACTCGTGTAGAAGCAGAGCCTGAAACCCTGCTCCTATGTAAGAGCCTTCTCAAGGAGCTTCCGGGAAAGCGGACTCTTAAAGAGGGCGAGCTAAACAGGCAGGGGAAGACTCTGGGCAAAGGCACAGGCTCACCCTCCCCAAGGCAAGGTGCACTTGAGCTTTTGAGCAGCTGTTTTCGGCTGTGGGCTGCCACAAGCAGAAACTCTCAGGCGCTTTCTGGTAAGGAGGTCCCAGCTAGGGCACTACTCAAAGGTGCAGAGTGCTGAGAGCTTAGCCGCCAGCATTCACGGCAGCAAGGCGGTAAACGGGGTTTGGGCATCCCCCAAAGGTACTGTGATGACCCCAACTCTACAGATCAAGTCATTCAAACACAAAGGCAAACAGCCCAGAAGCTTTCAGCAGGGCCTCCTGAATCCAGCACAGCAATGTCTAAACTAGTTATAATTGAGAGGCCCCCAACGAGAGGCCCACAGAGAGGCAGGTACCAGAAACGCCAAGGGGAAGCCCCATGGGAGTGAGGGATGGGAAAGCAGGTGCCTTACTAAGGAGATAGCTGAACAAGAACAAGGAGTGAGCCCAGTTTTACCAGACCTTCCCTTTTTTTTGTTTTTAAAGAAAAACCATCATGAACTTCGACATTTTAAACAAAATGTCCTGGTTTTAAAATATTGGCTTGAATTCTTGAAAAACACCCCGCGGGCCAAACTAAACAGGCTGGCCAGATAGATCTGGTTCGCCCCAGGGTGTGGCCAGTGCACAAGTCCATCTTGTTTCCCAAGGCTGCCACGCTCATCTAACTGCCTTAGAGGTGGGGAAGGCCCGGCGTAGACAGGAAGGGCAGCCACCAGCAGGCGCAGACTCTCACCTCTTCCATGTTAACTTCAAAGGGGCCAGCTGACTGGCACTCAGGGCAGGAGCCCGGCTTCACCTCCTGGTTCTGGGACTGACAGAAGGGCCCCAGCACGAAGTTACACTTGTTGCAGTTGTACTTGACCATACTGAGCTGGGGCAGGACGCCCGTGCAGCTGGTCACCACCCCACTGGTGCGGATCAGCTGGTTCAGGTGCAGCTGCCTACAGGGACGAGAGGGCCTATCAGAGGCCTGCAGGCTGATGACTGGCCCATGCCCTCTAGAGATCAGCACTCTAAGTGAGGTGGATCCAGAAAACCTGGATCCCACCAGATCCACACCATCGCACCTGGTCCAAGCCAGAGTGCCGGGAAGGGAGGGTGCTCCTTGGCCACAGCCAGCCCGCCCAGAAACCCATGGCCCCGTTGGAGCTCCCTTGAACGAAGCTGAGCCACGGGGTGCTGAGGATGCAGGGCCTCAGGCTCGCCCTGCCCTTGGCTCACCTCAGGGAGCGCAGCTCCTCTACAAGAGGCAGGTGGGAGATGCGCACGTGGATGTGGCTGGCGATGCGGTCGTACTTCGGGTACATGGCCAGCACGACCTCCAGTGCAGCCTCGTCGAAGATCTGCAGCAGCTCTGCTGGCGCCTCTGGCAGGAAGTAGGCCAGGACGTGCTCCCGGGCCGCCAGGTCCTCATAGTTCACCACCAGGCTCTCGCGGTTCTCTGGAGGCGAGAAGAAAGACTAAGCACAGAGCTCAGCCGGGGACACAGCAGGCAATTTCCCTCTCCCTGTGCAAGGAGGAAGGCCTGCCCCCCACGCCCCCCATCCTTGACTTGGAGCTGGAAACCCCAGCCCTGATTTCTAAACCTGCCCTGCTTTAGCTGTGTGACTCAGCAAGTGACACATCTTAAGCCTCAATTTCCCAAACTAAAATGCGGACATCACACGACGTATGAAATCACATTAAGTGAAACGGTAAGTGCAGGAAGGCTGCAAATTCAAAATGCCTGAAAGGACCAGGAAGGAAACCTGTGAATAAACTGCATCAAATACAAGACAAAAGGGAGTGGTGTGTACAGCAGCGGACCAAGACCCATGTGCCTCCTTTTAATTCCTGTACACAGAAATGTTCTATTTTCTGATTAAAGTAGTAATCCAGACTTCTACATTAAATCTGCCACCTTCTAAGCACGTCAGACACTTTTGTGGTTCAGCTGTCATCCCTGGACAGCCAGCAGAGTGTCCTAGTGCAGACACGCAATGCTTTTTGTATCTGCCCGATGACGGACATCTCGGGTTTCAGGTGCTAACTCCTGTCCGGCAACGGGCAAGTGGCTCAGTATTCCCTGCACTTCCTATTTCTATTAAACATGCTGTTAAAGGCCCAAGTAAACGACCCTCTGAGGAAGAATTCTGCAAGGCAGACTGCGGTGAGAGGCAGCGGGGACACGTGGAAGCCACACCTTTACACATGTCGCTGATGCGCTCCTTAAAGACGTTGTGGCCGTGGCCATCCACGTGGGTGCGCAGAAAGTTCTTAAAGCGGTGGTGGATCTCCAGGCGTGGGCCCGCCATGCTCACCCACTCACGCACGGAGTGGCCCTTCAGGTCCTCCAGGTTCTCGATGCTCTCGATCATGTCTTCGTCCTCCTCGCCGTCCTCTGTGGCCCGCTCTACCTGGCGGCGTTTCCGGGAGGGGCGCTCCTCATCCTCCTCATCGCTGTCTGGGGGCCAAAAGGGTACCCTCAAGTGCAATTTTCCCACCCCCTTCCACCTGCCTTCCCCAGAACTCCTTTTCCAGCCCCCCCGAGGCTCTGGAAGCTAGGACCAGCCTTGCACCCTTGAAGGTGCAGACATTTGAGCCTACCGTACAGGAGCCCGCGACGCATGCGGCCCAGGCCCCGGCCGGCCTCTCGGTCACGCTGCCGCATGGCCCGTTCTGCTGCCTCCCTTTGACTGGCTGTCAGCTCCTCGACGTCCTCGTCGTCCAGGGCCAGGCCCTCGGCCTCGTAGACATCCAGTTCTGGGATGGCACGATAGTCCCTGAGGGAGCCCCAAAACAGACCCCATTAGTATAAAAAACAAAACAAAAGTGGGCCCAGGAACTGGGCCTACTCCAGCCTGGGCAGGCCAGAGGAGTCTCCAGGCCAGAAATACAAAGGCTCCAAAAGGATCTCCAACAGAGACAAAGTGTGGTCTATGCATACAATGGAATATCATTCAGTTTCCAAAAGGAAGAAAGTCTGACTGTGCTACAACGTGGGTGAATCTTGAGGACAATGGCCTCAGCGAACTAAGCCAATCACAAAGGACAAATACTGTAGGATTCAGTTTGGGGAGGTGAAAAAGTTCTGAAGATGGTTGCACAACAATGAGAGTGTGCTTAATGCCCTTGAACTGGACACTTAAAGATGATTACGATGGTAAATTCTGTGTTATGTGTATCTACCATAATAAAAAACAGAGGGAGGGGACCTCCAGACAGCTCTGAGCATCCAAAAAGAAACAGAAATTTGAAGAACCAGAAAACCTTCAGGCAGAAAGGCCCTTCAGACAGCCGGCCCCACCTCCCCAAGAGGGCAGAAATTCTCCCTGCACCTTCCCCTCCCAGACAATGCCACGTCAAACCCCCTGAAGTACTGGGAAGGTCTTCTATTGACATCAGCCAAACCAGCTTCTCTGAAATGCCTGCCCACTGGCTCAACCCTCTCAGCTACTCCAACACCTCCAAGGACTTGTTTTCCACGATGTCACCTGTCAGGTATCTGAAGGGTAATGCTGTCTGGACAAAGAACCCACTGAGAGCAAGGACGGCTTTCCTCCCTGCAATTCTGGGAGGCAGACATCATTACTCCAACTGAAAGATGAGGAAACAGGGTTATGGGGATGATAGGGCTTTTGCCAAGAGCCACTCAGCAGATCCAGGTGTCAAAACACAGTCCAACCACAACCTGCAGGCTTGTTCTCTGATACCACACTACCTCCCCAAGATGATCCTCTGGAATTCTCCCTTTTTTCAGAGTAAATGGTGATTGGGGGTGACCTGCTACCTTTTTTTTCTTTTTTTGAATAAACTCAGAATAAGTAATCCCATGTTGCTGATGCCAGAAACAGATCCCGGAGGAGCCAGGTAGATGTGTGGGCTGATCCATTTCTGAAATCTTAAATGTTCTCAGTTAAAAGGTATTTGTCTGACTCATTGAGAAAATTTTAAGTCACACGAGATGTCCTCTGTCCTCAGTGAAATTCTAATTGATCCATAAAAAATTAATAAATTAGGTTTTATCAAAATTAACAACTTCTGTGCCTCAAAAGACACCATTAAAAAGGGGGGGGCACCTGGGTGGCTCAGTCGGTTAAGCATCTGCCTTCGGCTTAGGTCATGATCCTGGGGTCCTAGGGGATCGAGCCCCGTGTTGGGCTCCTTGATCGGCGGGGAGTCTGCTTCTCCCTCTGCCTGTGCTGCTCCCCCACCTCGTGCTCTCTCTCTCTCTTGCTTGCTTTCTCTCTCAAATAAAATCTTAAAAAAAAAATAAAATTTTAAAAAAGCGAGACTGAGAAGAAAATATTTGCAAATCAGTTATCTGATAAGAGACCTGTACCCAGAATAAATTTTAAAACTTCTTACAACTCTATAAAAAAAAAAAATCAAGCAATCCAATCATAAAATGGGCAAAAGATCTGAATAGACATTTCTCCAAAGATATACAAATAGTCTGTAAGCACATAAAAAGACGTTCCACATCATTAACCACCAGAGAAATACAAATCAAAACCCCCATGAGACATCACCTCACACCCACTGGGATGGCTATCACTGAAAACCAGAAAATAACAGGTGTCTGCAAGAACCACAGGGAACTAGAACCCTCATACACCACTCATGGGAATGTAAAGTGGTAGAGCTCTTTTGGAAAAAGGTCTAGCAGTTCCTCAGAAGATGAAGCACAGAGTTAACATACGAGCCAGCGATGCCATCCCTAGATATATGCCGAAGAGAATTTAAAACATATGTTCACATAAAAACTTCAGAGCTGGCTGATTTGTCCAAAGGCTCCCAATTCCTTCCATAGTGTGGCACATATGGCACATCCGTTCTCATCATCTGGGGTGTTGGTACTTAAAGCAAAGATCCGAAAGGTCCAGGGAGCCCTTGCAAGTCCCTCCGGTGGCTCACCCCATGGACTGTGGGATGGCCTGGACACCATATTTGGAACCCGAGTCAGGGTAAAAGAACGCCCCAAAAGGGAGTCTTCATAAGGCTCTGGGCATTTCAAATAATTCTACTACTAGTATACCTACCAAATCCTGGTTGTAAATACGGGGTAGAGCAACAGGAGAAATCTAACCCTGCTCCCTTGCAGAGCCTACTCCATTACCTTACCATTAAGTCTCCTAACCTTTGGGCGCCTGGGTGGCTCAGTCGTTAAGCGTCTGCCTTCGGCTCAGGTCACGATCCCAAGGTCCTGGGACCGAGTCCCACATGGGGCTCCCTGCTCGGCGGGAAGCCTGCTTCTCCCTCTCCCACTCCCCCTGCTTGTGTTCCCTCTCTCACTGTCTCTTTCTCTGTCAAATAAATAAATAAAATCTTTAAAAAAAAAAAAAGTCTGATAACCTTTAATACATGTTTCTATTTTTTTTTTTTAAAGATTTATTTATTTATTTGAGAGAACGAGAATGAGAGAGAGTACATGAGAAGGGGTTGGGTCAGAGGGAGAAACAGGCTCCTTGCTGAGCAGGGAGCCTGATGTGGAACTCGATCCCGGAACTCCGGGATCATGACCTGAGCCGAAGGCAGTCGCTTAACCAACTGAGCCACCCAGGCGCCCTACATGTTTCTATTTTTATTAATAAGTGTGAAAATATCTAACTCAGGGCCAGGTACAGATCAGGTGTAATAAATATTTGCTGAATTGCATCGAAATCTTGATTAATCAGGTACCCCCTCCGCCCCCCCACCCCGGTTTCTTTGAAGTTGCAGAAAAACACTCAGCTGCCTGCTTCCTGTTCTTCCAAGTCATCCTTGGCATCCCTGATGTCGTCCACCACAGGAAAGACTCCTTGCATCCCCCGAGGTGCGCATCTTACAGAGTTGAGGCTTACCCAGGCCTTAGGGCCCAGTCTATGATACAGCAAGTTACTCGGGCCTATGTTGTGGTTCCTTGGACTTGTCTGTCTCCCCCTAGATCCTGCATCAAGGTGCACTCATAGGCAAGGATACTGATTCCTCTGCTTCCCCTGTACCCAAAGCAAGGTCACTGGATACACAATGGGCTCTCTGCAAAACTATCTGCTGAGTACCCCGCTTTGAATGAAAATACCTCTCCATGCCATCTCCGATAAGCTCCTCTCCATCTTCTTCCTCTTCATCCAGGGGTCCCTCTGTACCTAGAAGCCCCTCAGACTCATCCTCAAAGGGGGGAAGATCACGGCCAGGGCTGGAGGTCAGGGCATCTGTGCGACGGGAGCTTCGCCCAGGGCTGGAGGTGAGAGGATCACTTCGCAGCCGCCGGGCTGGGCTGGATGCCACAGTGAAGGACTCAGATGATTCCTGCAGAAGAGGACCAAGAAGGTGAGGGCTGACTTAGCATCCTATAAGGTGGCCCTCTCCACCTGTGACCCTGTTCCCCCCACTCCACTCCAAACCCCTCCAGCCTCAAGACTTTGCATCTCATGTTCCCTCTGCCTGAACGCTCTCCTGTGAGCTCTCTGAGCTAATGGCTTCTCAACACACAGGAACGAGCTCAAATACCACATCCTCAAATACTCCAGGCACTGATATTTCCCTGTGTTTTCTCCATGACAAGTCACTAAGGATACATTTGTTTATGTACCTGTTTCTCTACTCTTCCCACACTCCTCTCCTGTGTGCATGGCTTCCCACCCACAATACACAAGACATTGAGGCAGGAGACAGAACATGAGAGAGACCAAAACGTAAGAGATCTGGAATTCACAGATTGGTGGAGAGGACAGACAATAAATAAGACAAAGAGACAAAAAACACTACAATAATATGTGCACGAAAATGCGGGGCCTTATCTGTCTTGTGTACTCCCAGCGCCAGGCATAGAGAGGGCACCCCACAAGCAGGTGCGGAGTAAGTAAATGACGGTGGTCGGGTAGGCCATAAAGCTCGGGTTAGGGAATTCGAGTTCCCAGCTTGGTGCGGGAGAGCAGGCATCCCCAGGGGGACTGGAGCGGAGTGGGGCCCGCTGGCTTTGCAGACCCCGCAAGGGAGGAGTAAAGGGGAGAAATCAGCTCCAAACCAGAGCCCAGGGACCCAACCCCATCTGGAGGCCCGATCCGGCCGCGGCGGAGCGGGGCGAGGGCCTGAGGACTCGAAGTGCGCAGCCCCTCGCCCCAGGTCCCGGCGCGCGCCCGCACCGCCCGCGCGGCGGGCCCACGCTGACATGGGGTCTCGCCGGGACCACCCGCCGGCCCCCCACGCCTCCGCCTCCCCCGCGCACGGCAGACGCGCAGGCCGCCGGGGAACACCCGCTCGCTCACCGCCATCACACCGCCACGCTCCCCGCCGCCACTCCAGCAACAACTAGTTTTCGCGCGGAAACCGGCTCACGTGACCCTCCCAAGCCCGGGAAGAGCCTGAAGGAACATTGCGTCATGACGTCGGCCCCATCTGCGTGCCCGGGGGGCGGGCCAAAGAAGGAGGCCCCGCCCACGCCTCCGAGGCGCCCCGCCTGCCGGCCTGGCGAGCAATCGGGCTCAGCGCGGCTTTGACCTCCAGCAGAGGGGTGGAGCTGGAGTTGCGGGTGGGGGCAGTGGGGGCCAGCCCCACCTGCCGCTTGCGTGACCTCGCTCGCCCTGTGGCTATTTTACAGATGAGGCAACTGAGTCCTGTTTTCTGAGGTCTCGTGAGCAGAAGGTCTCTTTCAACTACTCCAAAAGCTCTCAGGTTGAATACTTAGAGCACCCAGACAGCTCCAGGATTGTAGAAGGCCACAATTTGATATTTTAGTAGGAGTTATTTTCACCGAGGAAAGCAAAGGTGCAGAGGCGTTCCAGATAGAAAGAATGTCATTTGTAAAGATGTAGAGGGCGTGGCACAGCGGGGATCTCTAAGCAATTCTGTAGTTTTGGTTAAACAGCTTGTGATGCCCAGGAAGGGGGAATCCCTTAGGCTGCTCCTGGGTGGTGGTGGATTGAACCAAGCTGGAGGCTGTTGCTGCTGTTCTTTCTCCAATTACACAAGCACCTCAGGCTAGGGCAGGTCCCTTGGTGAGCAGGGCAGAACTGGAGGTCAGTCAGCCCTCAGTAGTTTTGTGCAGCGAACAAGCATCTCTGGATGGAAGCCCGTGTAGGTGCAGGAGGGATCGTGAGGACTGGAAATCTCCAAGAGACATTTAGGAGGTAGAATCTATTGGCGTTGGGTATTGAGGACAGCAAAAGGGAGGCATCCAGGAAGATACCGGGATTCTGGCTTGGGGGACTAGGTGGATAATGGCACCACCTCTGAGATGGGGAGTACAGGAGGGAAAGAGGAGAAGTTTGTTTCCGGCTGTGTTGAACGTGGGAGCTGAGTGGAGATATCCAGGAGGCCATTCAATGTTCAGGTCTTGAGAGAGAGTTTGGGCTGCAGCTGTAGATTATCTTGAGAGTGGTTGCACCGTTCGGCGAGTGAGTGCAGTGAGAAGAGAAGCCCAGGCCTCAGACCTGGGAAGCCCTAGCACATTGAAGGCGCCAACAGAGGACTCTGGACAGGAGATGGGATACTGGGAGTTGCTGAGGAGAAGCCAGAGAAGAGATGGTGGGTGGGATTGTATTAGTTATCTATTGCTGCATAGCAAATTATCCTGGAATCCAGCAGCTTCAAACAATGACTGTGTATTATCTAGATGTCTATGGGTCCAGGATCTGGCTCTGGCTTAGCTGAGTGCCTCTGCCTCGGGGTCTCTCGAAGTTCTTCTGTCAAGGTGCTGACTGGGGCCACAGTTGCATCTGAGGGCTTCGCTTGGGAAGGATCCACCTGCAAGCCCCCTTGTGTGACAGGAGCAGTTCCTCCCAGACTGTTGGATGAGGACTCAATTTCACACTGGCTCTTGGGTGGGGTCCTCTTCACTTCGCTGCCATATGGTCCTCTCCATAGGACATCTCACAACATGGCACCTGGTTTTGTTCAGAGCAAGTGAATGATAGGGTGAGAGAGGCCAAATGAGACAGAAGTCACATCCCAGAAGTGACGTCCCATCACTTTTGCCATTTTCTGTTTGTTAGAAGCATGTGGCTACATTCAGCCCACTGTTGAGGGGAGGGGATCATGGGGGCCATCTCAGAGGCTGCTACCAGTGGGGTCAAGAAGGTAGATGGAGTCAGCAGGTGACAAGCTGCCAAGAGGTCAAATTTGGTAGGGCCCAGGAACCACTGGTGCCCCCGGCAAGAGCAGGTCTGTGCTGGATCAGTGTTGGACACCACACTGGGGTGGGTTGAGGAGTAGGGTGCAGGGAGTTAATAAGGGTGAAGGTGGACAACTCCGGGGAAGTTGGACTATGGCAGAGGAGCAGTAATTAGAGTGGGATGTGGGGCTGAGGAAGGGCTTTTTTTTTTGAGATGATACTTAGGCATGTTTACATGCTAATGGAAGGAGGGTAGGAGAAATGGAAATGTGGAAGAGGGTAGGGCTAAGCCTCTGTTATGGCCCCTGATGATCCCTGCCTTCTGATATTCACACCTTTGGGTAATCTCCTCCCACACTGACCAAAGTCCATCTGTGTGACCAATAGCATATGACAGAAGTGACTGGATGTCATTTCGGAGATTAACTTATAAAAAGATTGTGGCGGGCGCCTGGGTGGCTCAGTTGGTTAAGCGACTGCCTTCGGCTCAGGTCATGATCCTGGAGTCCCGGGATCGAGTCCCACATCGGGCTCCCTGCTCAGCGGGGAGTCTGCTTCTCCCTCTGACCCTCTTCCTTCTCGTGCTCTCTATCTCTCATTCTCTCTCTCTCAAATAAATAAATAAAATCTTTAAAAAAAATAAAAATAAAAAAAATAAAAATAAAAAGATTGTGGCTTTGCTCTCCCTTTCTGTCCTCCTCTCTACATCAGATTACTCAGTCTGAGGGAAGCCAGCTGCCATGTCCTGAGGACACACAGGCAGCCCTGTGAACAGGCTCGTGGAATGGAGAACTGGGGACCCCAGTGGAGAACTGGGGATCCCAGACAACAGCCATGTTGGACTCACTCTGGATGCATATCACCTTGGGGCTTTATTTTTCTTACATCAGTAGGCATCCAGCACTGAATGTCATCAAGGACGAGTCTGCCACCTTCAGCCTGTGGATTTCATCCTCAAAATCTCTGTATGGCTGCTCCTTGTCAAGCACTGTATCAGATAAGGAGCCAGCTCATCTTAGATTGAGCTTGGCCTTTTCCCTTTGTCAGCTGGTCATGAGGGGCCTCCCAATAGGTCATAGGTGTGAATGAGGGAGAGGTGCTGGTGTGACAGGGGTAGATGATGTGGAGCTATAGTGGATTGCTTATGATCTGCTGGGCCCACCTGAATTTACAACTTAGCCCAAGCCTGATAGAACCCAGTTCATTAGGGACAGCTCTGGTCTCATGGTCACTTGATGTCCCCTAGTCATCTCCATGAGGGTCCCATAGCCTATCAGAATTGTTTTTTAAATTTGTATATAATTTTCTGCTGTAGGTGACCTGGCCTTGCTCTAGAACCCTAGGGTTGTACATTATGGATTTCCTACGAGGGCTTGCCATAAATTTTACACAGCATCTTTACGCACCACATATGGCTCTAATATGACAGGGTCCATGGTTCCTGTGGCCTAGGGGACAGCCCCTTTCTGCTGTGAGCCTCACTCAAAGCTGGAAGCTTTTATGTTGCCCAGACATGCATGGGTCAGAGCAGAATCCTCAGGTGTTGAATATACTGCCCCAGAACCCAAAAAGTAGGTTCTGGTATTGTGTTTCCTTCCCTGCAATGGGGTGTGCAAGATGCAATCATTTGTCCTTTGGAAGGGATGTCCTGGTATGCCCCAGACCGCTAGACTCCATTGAGGTGGCAAGCACCCACACCTTCACAGGGGTTATCCTCCACCTTCTGGAACACCTATGTCTCACCGAGGTCTTCGTTTACTTGTTAATTCTCGTTCAGCCAGCCAGATTAGTAGGATGTCATTGATATAGTAAACCAATGGACCATAAGATGAAAAAGGTAGGAGAGGGACCACTGGCCTGGGGCGAGACCATAAATGTGAGCGGCTGTCTTTCCCTGTGAATGTCAACAGTTCCTGATACGAATGGTCAGATCTCAGGCCCCCGCTGGGTACCTGAGGCCATGCCGATCCATACCGGCAAGGACGCCAGCACAGAAGCTGCAACTGGGGCTATTCCTTGGTTGAATCTGCAGCAGTCCACTACCAATCTCTGTATTGTTTTAAGGTCAGACTGATGAATTCATTAGGGATATGATGGGGTCCACCCCCAACTCCATACGCTTTAGATTCAAGGGTAGCGCTAGTCTCTGCATTTCCCCTGCTAGGTGATGTTGTTTTTTTTACCTACTATCTTGGCTGACGTGGGTGGGTGCGGACGAGTTTCAGAGGCTTTCACTTGACCTTCACCTCTGGGAAAACTCTCCTCATACAGACCAAGGACCCCATGTGGCATTCTGCCAGCCCATCCCAGAGGTCTAGTCAGCCTTGCTGGCTGCTCCTTTGGCTTCGATGGTTATCTAATTGCACCGACTTTTCTTCTGACAGCTGAGCACTGTCGTGTTGTTTCTGTTATTTGCAGATTCCCCCCCCTTTTTTTTTGCTTTCAAGGAGCCCAGCTTTGTAACAGCCGTGGCCCAGAGAGCATGACCACCCCCGAGCCTGGTGTAGGGCAAGGAACAGCACTTAGGAGTGCTGTTTGTTTTGCGTTGTTTATCAAACTCCCATTTCTTGAACTTTGCTGACACCACATCTGTCCTGTGAGTAGGGGATACTGCAGCGAATAAGACTCTGATTCTGCCCTGAAGGGGAGGGGATGAAATAGTTACCCTCAGTTATTCCACAAATGAAGTCCTGCAGAAACCTACACATGAGGTCCCAAACTCAGAGTATAGAATGCAGAATTGTCCATTGCAATAGTAATAGCAAATTCCCCACCCTGGAAAGTCTGTACTGTCTCAAAACACACACACAGACACACACAATTAAGATGGAGGGTAGTCTTTTGGCCGGGTCACAGATATTCCATTTCTTTTTCCTGGAACATGGTTGGAGGGACTGTTTCCTGTCCCCTGGAGGTTAGGAGTGGCCTAGAACTTGTTTTTGCCAATTAAATGTGAGTCGTGGTGATGCTCTTAGCTTCCTGGCAACTCTAGAAGTGACCTTGACTCCCCACAGCCCATTCAGGAAGGCAGGCATCAGCGTGGAGCACAGCTCCTCCCAGCTGTTACAGAAACTGTGCACACTGAGCTGACCACGGTCCAGGCTGGGGAAGTCCCAGACGAACTGAATCCCAAATGGTCATGAGGTGGTGACTTCCTTCTCCTGTTTTAGAACGGGGCCAATCTCATTCCAGCCCGACTGTGAAGCAGCTGTGTTATCATGGGGTGTGTGTCTTGGGGTTACTGTGATAAGTGGGTGTCTACAATTTGCACCAGGCACCAAGTCAGCCTCAGGATGTTGCCGGGAATGTGACAAACATGGTTTTGTCCTCAGGACACTAACAATTCTAGTGGAGGATGGCTGATGAACTAGGAAACAAGTAAATGAATATAATCATGTAAGAGAGATGGTGCTTGGAAGGAAATAAAGGGGCATTATGTGACAGAGACTGCACAGTTACTTTAGCGAGGATGTCGAGAAGGAGGTCATGTGATAAGGAGCCAGCCAGCAGGGACAGATGTAAGAGAGTGGGAGGCAGGAACAAGCTTTGGTATATTCAAGGAGGAGAAACAGAAAGCACTGTGGCTGGAGCACGCTGAATGAAGAGGGGATGGGTGGGAGAGGAGGACTCAGACGCGGGAGGTACCCTGCAGGGCCAGCGTAAGGACAGCCCGCTGTGAACACAGCCACAGATGTCAGAAGCGCAAGGATGGGGCAATCACGGAAGGCTTCCCAGAGGAAGTTGCCTGAAGAACCGTGGACGTTAGAGATGAGAGGAGGGGCGGTTCAAACCCCCCGCGTCTAGGCTTTGCCACTTCCTAGTTGTGTGGCTTTGGGCAAGTTATTTAACGTCTCTAAGCCGCAGATTCCTCCTCTGAAAAGGCGACTAATAATAACCGCCCTGCAAGGTTGTTGTGAAAATTAGTGCCTGAAACCCGGATGCCAGTGCGCTTTGATGGTGGACGTGGAGGCAGCGTGGCGTGCTGTGGAAACGCGTCGTTCCGGAGGAGGGGTTGTCCCTACCCTTCCTTCCTCAGCCAGGTGACCAAAGGTCACCCGCCCCGGACGGCCGCAGCGGGGCGCCCGAGGCGGCGGGCACGCGAGGAGGCGGTCCGCGGAGGCTCCTCCCTGGACCGTCGGGCCGCGGCCGGGCCCGGGAGGAGGAGCGCAGGCTGGAGCGAGAGAGTCCGTTGACAGCTGCTGACAGCTGGCAGGCGCGGGGGCCAAGAGGCGGCAGCGTCCTCAGCTCTCCGGTCCGCGATCCTGGCCGCCTTCAGGGTACGCCGCAGCCTCCCTACCCCGAAGCTCCTTCCCTCCCCCGCAGTGCCAGAGTTCTGTCTCTTTAAGAGGGCAGAGGGTCGCCCCGCCTCTTAGGGATCTGATTGGCTTCTTCCGCGGCTTGCGCCCTCTTTTTGGTGTAGCTCCATTTCTATAGGCTACTGGGGCCTGGGGGCGGGCCTGAGTGCTATAAGTAGGGGCTGTGGCTGTTTTCGCAGTTTGGGCCGAACGAAAAGGACGCGCCTTCCTTCTGGTCGCCGCTGCCGGGAAAGGCTGCATGCCGTCCTGGGGGTCGGTGGGCCCGGCGCGCTGACCGCGTTTTCCCTTTCCTGCCGTCCCCCGATTCCTGCGGAGCCGGCTGCTGGCGGCTCTTGCGCGACGCTCCCTGGCCCCGCCTCCCGCCCAGGGTGCTGGAGGCTGGAGGCTGGAGTCCCGGGGCCTGTGCCGGGTCGGCGGCGCTTTCTGCGGTGGCGGATGAGCGGCCAGGGCGGCGGGGCCTGAGCACGGCCCGGGGCCCTCAGGTAAGGAGGGAACCTTATCCCGCCACACCTGGAAGGGGAGCCCCGTCGCCGCGCGTCCTGAAGCCCTACCGCGGGGCTCTCCCTCTGCCGCGGCTGGGACCACCGTTCCAGGGACGCCCCCTGGCCTCCGCCGCACCTACAGCCCCTCCCCGGCAGGGAGCTCCCAGAGCCCGGGGGCATCTAGTGACTCCCCGAGACAGCTGCGGGAGAGCCGGGAGGTGATCGGGACCTCCACCCGCATCCCCACAGCTGGACCGGGGCCCACCTGTCGCTGCCCCTTCCTCCGGGAGTGACCCCTTCCCGCTCAGGGCGCAGCCTCAGAGGACCCCCTTGGGGAAGTTTCAGAGGGCCAAGGGGCCCCTGGGTGAGGACTCAAAGGGAGAGGCGATGGGTAATTGGGAAGCCCGGAGGGGATGGGGGTGGTAGAGCGCTCGGGGAGGGAGAGTGAGCACACCCATATAGCTGCACGGGGCTCGGACTGGCCAGTTAGCAGGGCTGGTGGACCCTGTGCAGGAAGAGATCTAGGCTGTGGCCCTGCACCTGGGCCTTGTCCCCGTCTACAAACAGTGGGACAGGACTTGCCTCCAACTTTGCCGTGGCCTTCAGCAGCTGGAGAGGGGCAGGAGGTGTTGTTTATGTGGCTGGGGCTGCTGTTGCAGGAGGGGCCTTCTGGGAGGCTCCACAGGGGAAGGAGGGTGGAGAGTGACTTTGCCTTCTGCCTCTGTAGTAGGGATGGGGCTGGGGGTCCTCCGGGGTGATCCTTCTCCTGCTCCCCAGAAGGGCTTGGCTGCACTCTCTAGAGATTCATCTGTCCACATTATAACATTTTGTTGAGAACTTATTCTGTGCCAGGCGCTATTCTAGGGGATTGGGTCATGAGCAGCCTGGAGTGGGCAGCCAGTAAACATAAACACCCAGCTAGGGCCACTCACTTCAGATGGAGGCCAAGTGCTGTGAAGAAAACACAGGGTGGGCTAGCTGAGAGAGATGGTTAAGGAGGCCCCCTGAATGATGAGACCGGCAGAAGGGCCGGCACAAAGGCCCTGAGGTAGGAGGAAGCTTAGCAGCTTGGAGAACAAGGTGGAAGCAGGGGGGGGGACGGGGGGGGGGACGACGACGACGGAAGGCCTGAGGCAGAGCAGCAGGGAGGGGCCAGGTGGGGGGGGCTTCCCTTCGTCCTGGGGGCTCCTCCCTGGGCTGCTGGCAGTGTACCAGGACTGGCCTGTCTGGGACAGCATCCACCTCCCCGCAACCTCAAGGCTGAAGGATGAAGGGCTGGCCTTGGGCCTATGGAGCCTTCTTAATCTGTTTTGGTTCCAGGGTTTAGAAGCTCAACAACCTGCTAGGGGGCAGAAGCACTGAGGGGTGTTACAGAAACTATGAAGTATATCCTCTCTCTTTTACTCAGGGCTTTCTGTCTCCCCTGGGGTTTTCCATCCAGTCCTGGTCAATCCCATTGCACAGATGAGAGATGGGAAAGCTGAGGCCCAGAGAAGGGAAGATCCTCTCCAGGGGCTCATTGCAGGTCTGGCACTGCATGACTGGCGCCAGCCTGGCATCCTGCCCCATAGGCTGGCTACAGAGGGAGGGTGGGAGGGAGCTGGAGGCCCAAGAGGTGGGTGGGAAGATAGCCTCTGGAATGTTAACAAGGTCAGGAAAGTCCCTCCCAGGTGGAAGAAACAGTCTGTCCCAGTTTCCCTGGTCCGGAGAGGTCTGGGGTTGCCTTAGGCCACTCAGCATCCTGGAAACTCCTCTGAGAATTCCCTTCCCCATCCCTCAAGTCTGGGCTCTACCCCTTCTCCCTGCCCTCAGCCAGCCTTCCCACTATCTCCTGTACCCTGTCCCATCATCTGTCCCCCATTTCCTGAGCCTGCAGACCCCTTAGTTCTCTGTCATTGCCCAGGCTTCTGCCCCCACGCCCAGGAGCTTGCCTGAGGTGGGGGGAGGAGAATATGGGGCCAGTGACTTAACCCTCTTGTGCCTCTCTTTTCTCCCCTCTGTACAGTGGGCACACGAGTAGTTCTTCTCAAGCAGAGGCTGGTGTGATAGTTAAGAGCGTACTACATGTAAAGCACTTAGCCCTATGTCTGCGGGTAGTGTGCACTGTTGTTTTATTTTTTATCATTGCTTCAGTTATTTTACAAGGTTTGACACATAGTGGCAATTCTGGTATGGCCAACAGTGCTTCTCTGACCAGCAGAGAACAGGCACCAGCTGGGATCGTATTAGCAGTATGGCAGGTCAGCCCTGGCCTAGGCCTGCTGAATCAGAATCTGCACGTTCACAACACTCAGGTGTGAGAAGCATAGCTCTAGATGGAGCCCAGAGCCTTCCATCTATAGGTGGAGCAACTGACGCCCAGAGAGGGGCACTTGGCAAGTCGCCACTTGGGGGCCTGGGCACTAGAGACAGACAACCTGGCAGGTGGCTGGTGGGCCCCGAGCTTTGTCTGCGGGGGTAACAGAAGTACTTCCCTTGTCGTGAGAAGGCTGAGAAGGCTCAGCGAGTATGTCTGCTGCTGTCACCAAGTCAGCAGAGGCACTGGTGGGGGGAGGGCAGTCCGTACTCTCCTTCGAAAGGGGCCCTTGCACTCGGAACCAAACCCTTCTTCCTTCTACACCCCCCCAGGCCCTCCTCTGGGAAAAAAAGCAGCAGTTACCTTGGTGTGACCTTTTGTAGGCATTTACTTCTCTGTTCTTGTTTGATCCTCTGGGCAACTTTGTTGGGTAGGTGTTATTGTCCCTGTGACACTCCAAGAGGAGAAATGACTCACTCAAGGTTACTTAGCAAGTACGTGGCAGAGCCAGAAGTGCAACCCAGAGCTGCCCGACTCCATAACCCATGTCAGCCAGAAGGTTTTCGTTAGTGAATTAGAGAAATCAGACTCAACCGGACCTAAGTAGAGAAGGGAATTTGTTGGATTTTATACCTAAAAAGAAAGTCCAGGGGTCGCACTAACCTCAGGTGTGGCTAGATCCAGGAGCTCACATGGGGCTCTGTCTCCTGAGATGGAGTTCCATCTGTCTCTCAGCTCTACATTCCTCTGTGTTGGCTTTATTCTCAGGTGGGTAGCCATGTGTGGGGTCAAAGTGGTCCAGCTCTGTACAGTACCATGACACTTTTAGCAGAAAACGTACCTGTTTTAACAATTACAGCCAAAGTCTCCAGGCTGATGCTTATTGGCCAGAACAGTGGAGTATCCTGATTGGCCAGGCTTAGATCACATGTGCACTCTGTGGAATTTTGAAGGGCTTGAGTCAGCTGTACCTCAACTTCATGGACAGAGACTGGGGGAGCTGAGGTTCCCCCCTCAGAAAAATGGGGTGCTGGACAGGCAAAACCAAGGGATGCTTCCCTCTTCAGACTCTATCTGATTCTTCCTGCTGCTGGGCCCTGGTCATCCTCACTGGCTTCTTTTTGCCACAAGGGACCTCTCAGCTTCTCAGCAGCTGCTGGATGCTTGGCCTGCTCTCCGGGGCCTGCCCCTCCTGGGGCCGCTTGGTACCCTGTCCTAGGCCAGAGCTGGTGTTGGGCTGCTGGGACCAGAAGATTGCTCCACAGGCAATGGTGAGTGGGGCAGAGGGGGCGGTGGAATCTCTCTCCTTCATCTCTAGTCACTTACCAGTCATCCTCTCGTCCTTCTCAAGCGGAAGTCTTGTGGGGGGGGTGGCACACACCCCTGCTGGCTGTAACAGCCCCGTGCTCAGCGTGGCCACATTCACACAGCAGACCCTCAACAGCCACATGCAGGTGCAAAGAAGGGGCTTTCCTCCTGGAGGGTGTCTTGATGGTCATCAAGGAAGACGTTTCTTGGGAGACTTCCTCCATATTTCATCACATGCCCTTGCTTAAACTTGGCCCCAGCAAGGAGAACACCCTTCCAGACGTTGACCAGAGCCTCCCTTCAGGGCAGTCTTGGCAAAGACGAAGACGATCATTCATTTGGTGGACTGTCCCACGTGTTGCAGGACATGTGGCAGCCTTGGACTCTGTCCATGAAAAATCATAGCACCCCACCCCATCATCCCCCTGTCAAACTGGAGCACCCCTGCGCACTGCTGAGGTGTCCGGTACTGTTCCACATTGCCCCTACCCCAAGGCCACTGGCTTACCGTAGTTGAGATTCAGCTTCTGGCCCAGGGGAGGGGCCCCTGCCTGTGCAGCAGGGCATCACGGAGGGGTCCTGGAATAAAGTTGCACCTTGATAGCTAGGGAGAAGGGGGCAGTGTTTGGTGGGGACACATTTGCAGCATTGGCCTAGCTGTTACAAAACATCCAGTGGCCAGGCCAGAAGGTACCACATCCTTGCTCTCTTCCTGCGTTCTCTGGGGGCGTCTGTGGGCTGCTCAGGTTGGCTGACCCTCCCCAAGGCATCCCAGATCCCTCCACTCCACCCCCACTGCAACCACTGGTACAGTGGCTCCTCAGGCTCCCTGCCTCCACTCTTGCCCTGCTCCAGTCCATGTGCCCCAGCCGCCTGAGCGGTCCTCTCCACGTGGACATGGGACCCCGTCACCTGCCTTTGTGACACCCTTCTCATTGCGTTCAGAATGCAGTCACATTGCATGTGGTCATATGGTCCTGTGTGGCCTGGCCCTGCCAACCTTTCTGATCTCCCTGCCAGCCACACTGGCCTGCTTCTTGCCCTTTGAACAGGCCAACCCTGTTTGTACCTCATGGCATTTGCATTCACTGTTCTCTCCCCGGTGTGCTTTTTGTCCAGATTTTTCCAAGTCTGGTTCCTTCTCAATTATTTAGACCTAGTGCAAATGTCAGCTTGTCTGACAATCCAGTCCAAAGCAGTACCTCTTTATATTCATTGGGATTCTGGCTTAGCTGTTGAAACAAAGGTCAGGATAACAAGATAGAAGATTATTCCTGAGTATTGCATGGTGGTCTGGGTGCACTCTGTCCAGGATATGCCTGGAGGCCCATGGGGTCTGGGACCCAGATACTTCTCATTTCTCTCTTACTCTCAACACATGGTTTCAGTTTTGTGGTCTAAGATGGCTACTGTTGTTCCTGCCAGCACATCCCTGTTCCAGGCAGTAGGAAAAGAGGTTGCTCGGCCTGAAACTGACCGACCCATTAAATTCACTGCTCATTTCCGATTGGATAAAACTTGGTCATGTGGCCTTAGCCAGTGGCCAGGGAAGCTCGGAAAATAGCCATTATCCTGGGAAGCCATGTGTGCACTAAAATCCATGGGCTCCAGTACTAAAGGGAAGGGTGGATGTTGAGGACCCTGGTAGTCTTTATTGTGTTACCCGTTGTTCAGTTCCACTCCTCTGTTAGCATGGTTTTCATGCTGGCTGCCTGCCTCCCCTCCTGGAATGACGGCCCTGGGAGGGCAGGTGTGTCCCAGCCCCCAGACTCATCCCTCGCTCACAGTAAGTGGTGCTGCCACCGGTGGAAGAATATGCTTGAAGAATCCATCCTTCCTTCAGACCTACTATGTGTTGGGCATATGTTTTCCCTGTTGGTTTGGCCTCACGCTGCAGATGGGGATGTGATCCCAGAGCCAGCGAGTGGCCTGTTGAGGAGAAGGACGGAGGAGCCTGAGCCCCAGGTCTCGGCCCATCTGCTTCATTCTCCTCCCCCTTTCAATCAGAGGCAGTGCTCGCGTTTCATGGCTTGGAATGGTAACAAGGATGCCCCTGCAGCCCTTGCCCTGCACCTGTTGCTGCTCAGGACTCGTGTTAGTGACAGCACAAGCATGGGTGCCTGTGGCATCTGCAGATCCTTGCAATAGGGTGCTCAGTGGCCCGGACTGCTCCTTGCTGAATGGGAGACCTGCACTCGTGGAGTGTAAACAGAACACATCTTTCTAATTTTTTTAAAACTTACTGATGTGTAACCCATACAGAAGCGTGCACAGATCATAGGTGGATGACTCAATAAATTTTGCCATGGTGAGCACACCTGTGTACCCCCCCAATCAAGCACCAGAAGCTGGTGTTCCCCACCCCCCACTATGCCCTCCATCCTCCACAAAGGTGACCCTCACCGGGATCTTTGTGTGGGGTCAGGCCACACACGTGCATTTGTAACTGGCCCCGCTCGGCCCCATATCTGTGAGGCCCTTTCCTGTTGCTGCCCACAGCAGTAGCCTGTTCTTTCTGTTTCTGTTTCACTGCGTATATGAGCGCCACCATGTGTGCGTACTGCTGATGGTGGGCATCTGGACCGTTGCTAGCCTGGGGCTGTTACAAATGTACCCAGAAGTGAAGACTCCGGGTCATAAGGCCTCATCTGTCCCAGTCATCATTTAATGCTGGCATCTGTTATGTCCTGGTGCCCAGGCCATGCCTAGCTCACCTGCCCTGCACCCCCTGAGCTCCCTGAGGAAGTCCCTGCTGCTGTCAGTGTGGGCCCAGCTCCTCTGCTCCTGTCCCTGAGAGCCCAGAGACCTGGGAGCCCGCCTTGTCCAGGGTGGCTCCCAGGGCCCCAGGCCATCAGCTCTCCTGTCTTCTAGGCTGGACTCTTAACCTCTCATTCGGAGATGCTTGGCTGTGGGCCCCCCTGCCGATTCTCGTTTCCGCCCCGCGGTCCCCCATCCCTGACTTTGCAGACACAGCTCCCTCTGCAGTGGCCCCCTCTACAGTGGCCCTCTCTACAGTGCCCTCCCCTCCGCAGTGGCCCCCTCTGCTGTGCCTCTCCTTCCCTCCCCTTCTCCACTTAGAGACCTCTGTGTGTCTTCCTGGCACAGTTCATGTCCCGCCGATTTGCGTCTCCCTTTCCAAGGTGGCAGCAGAGGATGACAAGGGGTGTGGTCTGCCTGAGGTGTGCGTGATGCCCCAATCCAGGGCTCGGGGGCTGTGTGATTGCACACCATCCGTCACTGGGCCTCCAGTGGGCCTTGCGCCAAGGACTCCGGACTGTGCGTGTGTGGGCTGTAGGAGGCGCTAGACATCACTTCAGTGCCCACCACAGCCTCCCAGGGTGAACGCTGTTGTTAGTTCCATTCCAGGGGCAGGGGGACCCTGGCTTCTTGCCCTTCTGCTCCCTGTCTGTCCCCAGGACCCCCAGGATCGGGGCGGTGAGCTGGGGTCATGCCAAGTAGCTTGCTTTGCTGTGCCTGGCACAGTGTAAGGCTCAATCACTGGGAGTGGCATTTCCTGTGTGTGGGTCACGACACAGAGGCTGAGGCAGAGGACCGGGCCCCTGTCCGTGCATTGTGTTGTGGCATGTGGGGGAGCCACACCTCACCCTCCGCCTGGTGGGTGGGAGAGTGGTCCGCAGGCCCACTGTAGGGAGCTGCTCTTGGGTCCCTGAGACCAGAGACCCAAGGCCACACAGCCCCTGCACTGCTCACATGGGGGCTTTCACTCCTCCAGGGCCGGCTGCTGGCGGGATGGGCATCTTGCAAGGGGTGATTTGGGCCAACGGGAGCACAGCCCTACCCCCACCCGTGGCACCCAACATCAGCGTGCCGCATCGCTGTCTGCTGCTGCTCTATGAGGATATCGGAACCTCCAGGTGAGGAAGGCCACGGCCCTGAGTGGGTCTCCCCCGTGCGTGCGTGTGTGTGTACGTATGTGTGTGATGGGGGGTAGGGCCGGGGGGTTGCAGACAGAACCTTACCAGTCAGCTGGCTTCTGTACCCATCTGCTAGGGTCCGGTACTGGGACCTCTTGCTGCTCATCCCCAATGTGCTCTTCTTCATCTTCCTGCTCTGGAAGCTTCCGTTCGCTCGGGCCAAGATCCGCATCACCTCCAGCCCCATTTTTATCACCTTCTATATTCTGGTGAGTTCACTCCAACTGGCTTAAGTGAAAAAGGGAATTATTAACTGCTTCTGTAATGAAAACCAGCTTCAGACGTGGCTGGATCCAGGGGTAGATGGACATCATCAGGACTCTGTTTCTCTGCCTCTCTGCTGTCCTCTGGCCTTGTCTCAGATGAGCTCTCCCTTGCCTGGTGTCAAAAATAGCCAAGAGCAGCTGTGAGCTAACATCCTGCCTCCCTGCCAGTACCAGCCAAAGAGGAGTGGTGCTAATGTAGACCTGGGACTCCCTCTGACCGGCCCACCTTGGATCCCCTGTTGGTCCCTGAGCCAATCACTGTGACTAGCTGGGAAGGGGCACTCTGAGGCTGGGAGGGTAGGGTCAACTCAGCCAGGCTGTGTAGACTGAGGAGGGTGGTGGTCCCTGGAGGAAAACTGGGGAGCTGTTCGTAGAGGGTAGGGGAAGAGATGCTGGCTGGTGGAAGAAATGCCCACTGCCACCTCCATCTGTCTGTCTGTCCATCCAGCCGTCCGTCCCCATTGGGTTCTGTGAGACCTCTTTGGAGCAGACTTCCTGCCTATCGGGAGACCCCTAGTTCTCATCATTCATTGGAGCTGGTGTGGGCTACCTGGGGAGAGGTAGCAGGGCTGCGGTTGGGAAGGCGGCCCCGGCTATGGGCTCCAGGTGCGGGTACCGGGTGCAGACTGTCCAGCTCCCGTCCTTCAGGGCTCAGGCCTGACTGACTGGAGTCCTCCCCTCTCTCTGCCTCTTATTTTTTTTTTTTTTAAGATTTTTTATTTATTTTTTAACAGAGAGACAGCAAGAGAGGGAACACAAGCAGGGAGCATGGGAGAGGGAGAAGCAGGCTTCCCGCCGAGCAGGGAGCCCAATGTGGGACTCAATCCCAGGACCCTGGGATCATGACCTGAGCTGAAGGCAGACGCTTAACGACTGAGCCACCCAGGCGCCCCACTCTCTCTGCCTCTTAGTTACGACTGCCTGAGAGCTGAGTGGCTCCTTGGGCCGCTCTTTGTGGCCTGGCTCAGAACTTCACAGAAGAGCTGCCAGTGGGCAGGCAGGGCAGGAGAGACTGTGAGGAACCCCTGGAGGCTGCTGGTGGAGGCCCCACGGGCTGCCGGCTGATCGGAGCCCCTGCCCCTATGAGTTGGTGGTAGGCAGGGGTGGGCATTGAGGCCTGTTTTTTCTCTACCCCACTGCTTCTCTGACTCCTTACTGTATTTATTGAACAGATAAGCAGGCAGGCAGATGCCCTTTCTGGGGGAGCATGAGGGGAGAAGGGACCCAGGGCCAAGGCCTGGGAGCATGAGGCAGGGCCAGGGGACTCAGCACTGCCCCTGCCCTCTTATTCCTGGGGACTTCTTTCTAGAGAGCTCAGGAGACAGTGGTGAGCATTGGCTGTGCTGAATGCCCTTGGGCTGGTGGCTTGGCCTCTCTGTGCCTCAGTGTCCCGCTTCCCACACCATGTGTGCTGGGCCTGCTTTAGCTTGCGGTGGTCCTGTGAGCACCAGAGAAGACAGCGTGCGTAGCTCTAGCCCGGTGGCAGCCTGGCATACAGTAGGCACACGGCAGTTTGTTGCTTCTATAGCCTGCCCTGTTGAGCGGTGTCAGCCTCCCCAAGGGTTCCACACGGTTTTCGTGGCACAAAGGACAGACTGTGCATGGATCTGGACTCTTCTGTTTGCATATGTCAGAAAACCAAAGTGAACTCACAGAAGCTGGAGGGAATGTATTAATGGAGAAACTGACAAGTCCCAGGGCTTCAGGCATGGCTGGATTGAGGGGCTCCACAAGGCCGTGGGGGCACAGTCTCAGTGTCCCTCTCAGCTGGGGTTTCTCCAATGGCCCTGTCTCTCTCAGTCTCGTGCTCATGGAGCCAGGCAGCCCCAGCATCTCCAGGCTTGCAACCCCGCCTCCCCCCAGCTTCCTTTCCCAGTGGCTGCACCTGGTGTCCTGGCTGTGCCTGTGTCTAGACTCCCTCGGGTCCCACCCCCATCCCCAAATCAGGGAATGGCATGTGCGGAATGGCTAGCCCTGGGTTACAGGCCAGTCCCTGAAGCCGGCGGGGGGAGGGGGGGAGGTCAGGCCCCCCACCCCAAGCCATGTGAGAAGAAGGAGGCTGTTGCCAGAGGAAGAGTGGATCCCGGGTGACAAAATCCGTCGATGCTGAGCACGGGCACTTCTGCAAGACATGCTGGGGCAGCAGCCTTCCCCAGGGTCTCTGAGGTCTCTTCCCTGTAGCCTCCTTCCCCCCATGGCTTGGGATTAAAAGCGCTAATAAGATGATGCTAAAGGCAAATATGTACCTAGCCCTTACCGGGTGCCAGGCTTTCTTCCGCTACATCGATTTACCCATCTGCTCCTCCCAACCACCAAATAAAATAGGTGCTACTTTTACCCCCTTTCATAGATGAGGAAACTGAGGTACGGAGGTGTAGGTCCTCGGCTGAGGTCACAGAGGCAGGAGGCAGCAGGGCTGGCATTCAGTCCTGGCAGTGGGGCTCCACCATGTCACCCCTATTAACAATTCCAAGGCTGCCAGCGTAGCCAGGAAACTGAGGCCCGAGAGGGAAAGGCCAGGCGGAGGTTACCGTCAGTGGAGGATCTCCCCACCTCCCTGCGTCGCACTCCTGACTCTTCTGGTTTGGAATCCTTACGTTCTCAAAGAATCCAAAGCTCCTGCAGAGGCCCTGCAACTCGCAGAGGTCTCGTGCCCGGACCCCATCGTGGCATCCCCCCTCTCACCCCACCAGGTGTTCGTGGTGGCGCTGGTGGGGATCGCCCGGGCCGTGGTGTCTATGACGGTCAGCACCTCGGATGCTGCGACTGTTGCCGATAAGGTGTGGCCGGGCCTGCTGACAAGGGCGGGGGGGATGCTGGGCGCTGGGGAGAGGGGTGACTGGGCCCCCAGGCTGACACTCTGCCCGCTCTGTGTCCAGATCCTGTGGGAGATTACCCGCTTCTTCCTGTTGGCCATCGAGCTGAGTGTGGTCATCCTGGGCCTTGCCTTTGGTGCGTGTGCTGCTGGGGCCAGTGCTCTCCCTGTCCCTCCCTAGCGGGCACCGACCCCACCACGGTCACCCGGCTGGCTCCCGCTGACCGACCAGCACGTTTCTTCCAGGTCACCTGGAGAGCAAGTCAAGCATCAAGCGGGTGCTGGCCATCACCACGGTGCTGTCCCTGGCCTACTCTGTCACCCAGGTAAGAGGGGAGGTGGGGCAGGTGCAGCTCTGGGGTCCCCCTGGAGGAGGCCAGGGGTCACTGAAGGCTGAGCCTCCCCTGCTCCCTGGTTCTGGGTCCAGGTTTGAACGTTTATTAGGTGCAGTGTTCTCAAACTTTAAATGCGCCTAAGGAATCACCTGGGGTGCTTGTTAACAAGGCAGGTTCTTCTCCCCCTCCCCACCATTCCAATCCAATTCCAATTCCAGGCTGGGGTGGGGGTGGGGAGGATGCCTAGAACCTGCTGTTGTAACAAGCAGCCCAGGTAGGGAACATACACGTTTGCCGACCACACGCAGAGCTGCACATCTAGAGACTCCTTCCTTAGGAACCTGCTCCCGGTGTTGGAGCTTAGGTGGGTAGGGAGCAGGGCAAGGCCAGGGAGCACCCTGGAACAGGGAACTCTGAAGGCCAGGCTGGGGAGCTGGGCTTGGTGTGGTGGAGGGCTCTGGGTGCTTTGTATCAGGGAGCCCCCCTAGGAGGGGGCTTTCCAGGTGGCAGGAGACTGAGGCCCTCCTCTGCCTGCCCCTGCAGGGGACACTGGAGATCCTGTACCCTGACGCCCACCTGTCGGCTGAGGACTTCAACATCTACGGGCATGGGGGCCGCCAGTTCTGGCTGGTCAGCTCCTGCTTCTTCTTCCTGGTGAGGCTTAGGGTGCCCCCACCCCTTTCTGGGCCTCGGCACCTTGGGGGTGGCCACATGAACCTAGAGCCTGAGGCGGGCCTGGATGTCTTGGTCCTCGGCTTAGCTCTGGGCCCGGTGTGCCCAGCATCCTTCTCAGTCCTGCTCTGTCTCTGCAGGTCTACTCTCTGGTGGTTGTGCTCCCCAAGACCCCGCTGAAGGAGCGCATCTCCCTGCCTTGTAAGCAGCTGGTGGGTGGCTCTGGCACAGGGATGGGTGCAGGGCAGGGTCTGTTTGGGCCACTGTGACTCTCCTGCTGGAGAGCCCTTGGTGAGAGGGAGGGGTCCTCCTGGGGGCCCAGAAGGGCCTCAGGTGACACGCTGGGGATGAAGGGCGGAGGCAAGGGCAGGGCCTCACGGTCCCCAACCCCCCAGCACGAAGGAGCTTCTACGTGTATGCGGGCATCCTGGCGCTGCTCAACCTGCTACAGGGGCTGGGAAGTGCGCTGCTCTGCGCCGACATCATCGAGGGGCTCTGGTAGGTGGGGTGGGGCACGGGGTGTCCGCTGGCTCCGGTGTGGGGCGAGGCCTGAGTGGGAGTGGCGGGCAGGGGGAGGCTAAGCCCAGGTCCCATCCAGAGGAGGTCCCTCCTTGACCCGTTCCTCCTGCCCCCCAGCTGTGTAGATGCCACCACATTTCTCTACTTCAGCTTCTTTGCGCCCCTCATCTATGTGGCCTTCCTCCGGGGCTTCTTTGGGTGAGTCTTCCCACGGGGATGGGGGGCGCGGTGAGCCGGGGGCGGCGCGGGCAGGCAGGGGCCTGGGACAGGGGTGGTAGCTGGTGCCCGGCTTGCCACCCAGCGGCGGGTGAATTGCGGGCCGCGGGCGCCCCCACGTGGCTGCCTGTGGAACTGCGCCTCCAGCTTCCTGCGCATGCGCATCCTCAGCCTCAGGGTCCTGCTCCTCTCTCCTCCCAGTTCAGGCTTGGACACCGGGAAGGATGAGGCAGATGAAGTGTGTATGTCTGTACTTACACATGCATCCACACATATATACATATGCACGCATGCGTACACCTACATACATATACACATTTTATATGCCACACACACAGACATATGTACACTTTCCCCACAAGAGAGTGTCTGTGCACATTGTTCTACACTGGCTTGCTTTTCATTTTAGAATACTTAGCTCACTCTTTCGGCAAGCATTCATTGAGCACCTACTAGGTGTCGGGCACTGCTGCAGCTGCCACACACAACAGGGAACAAAGAAGACACAAATCACCACGCTCACGGATTCTAGCTGGGAGTGGCCGGGGAGAGGAGCAGGGTTCCGGGAGGCGGGCATGTAGCGGAGCATAGCGTGAGGTGCACGTTGGTGCCTGTGTGTGTTGGGAGGCATGGCAGGGAGATGGGATGCCAAGGACATGGGGGATTGAGGGTTGGATCCTGGGCCCCTGACGTGGCAGAAGTGCTAGGTCTGAGGAGGTGCGGGGGATCTGAGGGGGGGAAAGTCGGGGGAGGGCATCAGAGGTGGGGTGAGAGGGGCTAGACTGGCTTTCAGCCCAGCCCTGATCTCTGTGGGACCTTGTACACGCATTTATGTCTCTGGCCCTTGGGCTCCTTTTTGTAAATTGGGTACAGCGCTTCCCCGTCAGAGTTATCCTGAGAATTGAGGGACTAAGTAAGTGCAAAGTAGGTGGTCATAAAACTGCAAGGGTGGAGGTTGCAGCTAGTGTTCGCTGAGCACCTCAGGCCAGAATTTACCTCTGTTTACCCTCTGCTAAGAGCCTCTCAAGGTCAGAGTTGTACCCATTTTACAGTGAGAAACAGGCAAGTGAGAAACTTATCCTTGTCCGAGCTCAAACTCAGTGTGCTGAGTTTTAAAAGAAGTCCCATTGGACTCCAGAGTCCAAGCTTTGGTGACCTCCTGGGGTGGCCGTTAGGCAGCAAGCCTTGTTGTTCAGAGAAGGAAGCCTTCCTAACCAAACAGTGGGGCTCCCTTGCCCCTCTCCCCTCCCCACCAGCTCAGAGCCCAAGATCCTCTTCTCCTACAAATGCCAAGTGGATGAGACCGAGGAACCGGACATGCACCTGCCCCAGCCCTACGCTGTGGCCCGGCGGGAGGGCCCCGAGACAGCAGGAGCTGCTAGCACACAGTTTGACTCGGCCGGTGGGGTGGCCTGCTTGGACGACATTGCGTCCATGCCCTGCCACACGGGCAGCATCAACAGCACAGACAGTGAGCGCTGGAAGGCTATCAATGCCCGAGTGTGACCACCATGGCCGGAAGGCCTGCTGGGGCCTGTGCAGGGCAGGCTGGAGAGAAGACCAGGGAGTGCCAAGTCGCTGCAGGAGGAGGAGGAGGAGGTCATGGGACCTTCTGTAGGCAGCAGCCCCACGCAGGCCCTGTCTCACCTTCTGTGTCCCCAGTTGCCTTTGGCCACCTCTGCTCTAGCTGGGGGCTGCCTCCCCCTTCCACCTTCCACCTGCCCTCTCCCTGCTCAGCAACATGGCCCAGACTCTGATCTCTCAGGGCCATGCCTGCCTAGGCCGGCTGAGGGCACCTCCTTTCTCCAAAGCCTGGGCACCCAGGACCGGTCTGGCCCTTCTCATCCCTCTGCCTCCTCCCCATGGCGCTTTGGCTTCCTCAAAGCCCACTCCGGCGGGTGGGCTGAAGTGTGTATATTTTCTTGATCTATTTTTTAATAAAAAAAAAAGGAGCAGAGGGTGCGGCTGTGGAAGTTCCTCTTAGGAGCCCGAGGGCTGGGGTGAGAACCTGCGACAATCAGAGGTCCTGGCAGGTCCCTCTGCATCCCGAGCCCTAGGAGGCCCTGGGCTCCTTCTTTTGCTCAACAGAGAAACACTGGCCAGTGCACAGGCCCTAGGCTGGCTGCTGGGGAAGTGGGGGGCAAGTGGACGAGACCCAGTGCTCCGTGTCCCGGGCCCCCGTCCAAGCAGACAAGAGGGACGTGGAAAGGGAACCATGGTTCTGTGAGCAGCTGTTTCCCCATTCTGTTGCGGAGCGTGGAGTTTGGAGTGAGCCCTGCAGGTCCTGTCCTTTCTCTGTGCCTTCTGCTCTGCCCTCCTGGACTGGCCAATTCCCCTCCCCCCGCTCCAGCTCGCCACCTGTGAAATGGGGATAAGGAGGCCTGTCTTGCAGGGGCTGCTATAAGGATTAGGAAATAGTGAAGGGCCGGCAGATGCTTATGGAGCAATAGCCATAATTCGATTGTTTTTAGCCCCTAGAATAGTGCTTGCCACATAGTAGGCACTCAGAAGGTAGGATGACAGGGACTGACATGATCAGAATCGATGTGATAAGCTAAACATGGGGCTAAGTCAGAATAAAGCAAGCTGTAAACAAGAGGAGGGAGGTGCTGTGTGTCCATGTCTCTGCCATTGTACCTAAGCTTGGCCTTGAGTCTTCAGGCAGCTGGAGAAAAAAGGTGTTGATGGTTATGTCATTCCCACCACCAGAGAGAGGTGGTCTCAGTGGGGCCACGGGGGTGCTGAGGGTCAGGCCCGGCACCCGCCTGCATTGCCAGCCCTCTTTCATGGCAGGACACCAAGGGCACTAGCTCCAACATGGCTTGTGACTGTGGGGCCAATGTGTCATGCTCCCCAGGATCCGGGGCCCAGAGGGCTGTCAGTGGGCCAGGAGGTTCCTTCTCAGAGCTTTCCTGGAAGATGGTGGGCGGGGGCAGGAGGCCTCCAGGGCATTCCAAGAAGGACAAGTGTTGGGGGCTGGGTAGGGAGGCCTGGACAGGCCATTCCAGAGCCGCACTCAGTACCAGTGGCCTGGGACGCCTGTGCCGTCCAAGAGGCCAGAGTGACAGCCTGGGTTTGCTCAGTGTGATACCTGAGCAAACAGCCCTGTCGATGGGGAGGCACCCACAGAAGAAAAGAGGCTAGAAGCCTGCTTTTTTGTTCTGATCTTAAAGTTTGTGTTTTTTTTTTGTGTTTTTTTTTTAAGAGAAACCTTTATTTCCTTGTTTCACAAATAAACTTGGCTGAATTGGTTGCTTTTTGGTGATTTTAATAGGTAACATGCACATGGCAAAGAAAAGTTCACACGGTGCGAGGAGGTGCACAGTGGAGCAGGAATCTCCTCCCGGCTGTGGCATTCACTTTCCCCATCCCCTGCCCCAGAAGCACCGCCAAGGCCAGGGGCTCCACTGCCCGCCCGAGTGCCTGTGTGTGTTCACACGTGTGTATGCACATTACCCCTGTTCCGGGAACATAGACGTTCTGTTGGTTTTTTCTTCACTTCACACTTGATCTTCGGATCATTCCGTGTCAGGTGGTGGAGCGGCTTCACTCCGGCAGCTGCATACATTACGGATATACCGCAGTTTATTTAACCAGTCCCGTTGGGATGGATTTTTGTTCCCAATACGTTTTGCAACAACAGACAATGCAGCGACAAACATCCTTATAACTATGCTTCCGGTAACTCACGCACGTGATGGGACTGGAGCACACGGTCTGCTTCCGGTAACTCACGCACGTGGTGGGACTGGAGCACACGGTCTGCTTCCGGTAACTCACGCACGTGATGGGACTGGAGCACACGGTCTTAATTAGTTTTGTCTTACCGTCTTCCGGCAGAGACTAATAGCTGTCCTCCAACGTGTCCCCCTTTTCTTCCACTGTAATAGAATCTCTGAGTTTTTTTTTAAGCTGGGCACACAGCTTCCTGGAACAAGACTACATTTTCCAGGCGTCCCTGCAGGTGGGTGTGGCCATGCGACTGAATTCTGGCCGATGGGATACAAGCATGCATGCAGCTTCCTCATAGAGAGGCTAGGCTCTGCGCCTCTCTTCTAGCCGGGGTGTGGTCGCTCTGGCTCTGGCCAGCATCGGAGCAGCCATCTTGAGTCACAGAGCGTCTTGGGAATGGAAGCCTCTCATGGAAGCGCAACAAGGTAGAAGGAGCCCATATCCTGACGCTGGTGTCGCCACAGTTGCCTTGGACTTTACACCTTAGGATGACTTTTTGAGGTTGCGTGAGAAATAAATGTCCCTACTTGGCTTAAACCCCTTTGGATTTTTCTTTTACAATTGAACCTAATCAGAACCAACAGGCTCTTCAAAGAGGCTGTACTGGTGTTAACTTCTGCCAGTACGACCTCACCGACACTGTCTGCCATTCAAATTTTTGATTTTCCTGAAAAGAGCTGCTTGCTTCTGTTCTTCTAGGACATTCTGTGTGCTGTATCTGGATGGTAACAAACATCATGCCGAAGAGTGGCCAGAAAGTGGGGGTTTCTGAAGCCTTGGTATGGTGATGGAGTTCACTGTATGTGGCCCAAGTTCCAGTCCTACCTCCCTACCGCTGCTGCTCACGGGATGTGGACTGGGGGCAAGTCATGTCCTCTCTCTGACCTTCAAGTTTCTCCTAGTGACTCAGGGTATCACATGACTGGTTGCCACCTAATACCTATTTTCCCTCCTTTAGTGACCACACCTGATATTTTGTGGTTCAAGGAAGCACCTGGGTATAAAGAGACATTCCCTGCGCCTTTGCAGTGACTCATGTGACTAAGTTCTGGTCAGTGGGATGTTAGGAGAAGTATGAGAAACTTTCTTTAGCACAGACTGCTTAAAGGGAGCTAGCTCAGCTAGGAACTGTGCTCCTTTGTCCTCCTGCCTTTCTACTTACTGCTTCCTGGAATGTGGATATGATGACTGGCTCTCCAGCAGCCATCCTGCATGATGAGGTGACTTGGGGAAGCTCATCCTCGTTCATTGAGGATGCTCAAATAGACAAAACAATAAGCCCTGTCCCTAATGATGGTGGTGCTGCTGTACCAGCAGTGGACTGCTACAAACAGGCTTCTTTAACCCGAGAGAAAAGCTATCTTGTTTACATCAAACTTGGCCCTAATGGAAACATGTGAGGATCAGAACATGCCCCACAAGGGGTCACTTGCAGGAGACAGGATAATATTTTGAGATGGTGATTGTCTTTTCCTTCCTGAACTTCACCTTCTACTCCCTCCCATGTCAGTGCGAATTTGGTCTTGTCCTTCCTTGCCCAGGGAAGCCCACAGTTGGTAGATGACCTCCTGACTTTGTTCCAAATGCCTTGGGCTACAGAAGGCAGCGGGGGCTGGTGGAAAGAAACAGGTGGGGTTTCCCTTGGGAGTGAGGTCTATGTGTCCCTGAGTATTGAGGACCCAGGCATGGGTAAGGCCAGGCTCCAGATAACACAGCATCCTTGTGAGCTTAGGGAGGAAGACCCTGGGCACAGGGTCCTTGGCTGCTGCAAAGGGGTCTCCTGGCCCAAGTGTGATATGGACACAGCAGAGCTCCGAAATCTGCAGGTCCCCTATGGCCAGGAGCACTGGAGGCCTCAGTGATAACAGGTGTGAACACAGGACCACTGGTGTGTCGGCCTACTGGGCTTGCCGTAACAAAGTATCACAGACAGGGTGGCTAAAACAAGATAATTATTTCTCCCAGCTCCGGAGGCTGGAAGTCTGGGATGAAGGTGTGGGCAGAGTTGGTTTCTCAGGAGGCCAGTCTTTCTCTGGCACGCTTGTTCTGTCCTCAGATGGCCTTTCCTCTGTGCATGTGCGTTCTTGCTGCCTCTCTGGGGGCCTACATTTCCTCTTCTTCAAAGGCCACCCGATGGCCTTATTTTAACTTAATCAGTTCTTAAAGGCCTTGTCTCCAAATACAGGTGCACTCTGAGGTGCTGGGTGTGAATTTGGGGAGGACACAATTCAGCCCCTAACAAATGGCACTAGAGCCTTTCTCTCCTGACATCCTGGCACTGTGCCAAATCCTGGGCACTTGACCAGGACCACAGACCAGGCAGAAAGCCCCCAAGAATGACAGGGGTGTAATCTTCCACCCACTCAGCAGGATAGGGATAAGTAGGACATTAAGTGGCATTCTAGAAAGTCACTTGTATGTGTGTGGGCTGGGATTCACACTGCCTGTGTAAGGGGGGGTTGTCTGGAGAATTGCCCACACATTCTGCTTCACTTCCTTCTGGACACACCTGTAGGATTATTGTCCTCCCCTGCCTCCCTCAGGGAGAGGGGTAATGCTGCCGTGTGACTTACTATGGTTAGTGAAATGTCAGGAGAAGTGACACGTGTCCCTTCCGGGTAGAAGCATTTAACTGCTAGTACGTGACTTGGTCCTCCCACGGTCATGGAAGCACCTGTCAAGATGGGGATGCAGATAGAGGCTCTGCCTCCAGACTCTGCAGGGGCCAAGACGAGGCTCTTCTGGATCTTGCCGGGGAGGGGGGTGTGTGTGTGCTGTCTTTCAGAGAGCTGGTTTGCTCTTCAGCCGCAGGAGGCAATTCCGCTAAAGCCTTGAGAAGTACCCGCGAGACGGGCGTGCTTCTGTCACCTCCACTTACAGGTGAGGGCACTGAGGCTCTGACGGGGCCAGCTGCTGTCTCGTGGGGAGTGGAGCTGGGAGGGAGGCCCCAGGACGGTGAGCTGCCACACTGCACCCCAGCAGCAGCAGGTATGAAGGGTGTGAAGGGGGGCTGACTGGCAGGTATTATGTTGGAGGGAAAGTTGGGGCCACTGGGGGGGCCGTGTGTTGTAGGCTGGTTGTCCCAGGGGGAGAATGACAGTCGTTTGTTATGCAGGGGACTGTGATAGTGGCAGTCCTTAACACTATTTGTGTGCAGGCCGCATTCTGGACACTCCACGGGGAACATAGTCCCACGGTGTTAAGATGCCCACTTTACAGACGGG